CGCTCCCCGGCTCGCTGCTGGCCCAGCGAAGATTGCTGCAGGCGTTTTGGAGCGAGCGTGGCTGGCTCGGGGCTGGAGTTTGCGGAGCATCCCTGCTCCTGCCTCCCCTCTCCCGCTGCTCCCTCTGCTGAGGCAGAGCCCCGAGGGGCATCGGGGGCGATGCGGGTGCTGCGGTGGAGGCCCGCGGGCACCGTCACCCTCCGTCCATCCCTCCGTCGGCCCCGTGTGCCGAGTGAGTCTGTCTTTCCATTGTTCAAACAATCCCTTTTCCACACGCGGTGCCAAAGGCTCCCCGATCGCTCCCGCATGCGCCAGTATATTTAGCTGCCTCTAAGCCTCTACCTTTCCTTATATAGGAGAGGCCAAACGAATTTCTCACTCTCATTATTAATAGCCTGAGAGGAGCTCTTAGGAGGCTGCCAAAAATAGCAGGCAAACAGAACGCACCCGGGGTGGGGAGGGTGTCGTGGCAGGGAGGGAGCCGCCGGGACCGCCGCGGGAGGGATGCCACGCTGCTGGTCCTAGTTTTTCCCTTTGGGAACCACACTAAGGTGTCTCCCAGCATCCTGCCCCGGGCAGGGGGTCCTCCTCGCCCCGCCAGCTCTCCGCAGGTAGGACCGCCGGGGCTCCGGGTGGGCAGAGCAGCCCTGTACCCCCGAACTTGGCGGCTGGGGATGCTGGAACAATTGCTTTGTGGGTGTTGGGGACACTTCAAGTGGATGGCTTGGGGCAACTCAGGGATCCCCATCCTCACGGGGTCCCCCTGGCCATGGGGATCTCCTGTGGCTGAGATGGTTACAGGTTTTACCCTTCTGTGCACTCCACAAGCTCCGTTTTGCCCTCGAGCTGCCCTGGGCTGCTGCTGGGCCCAGTGGTGTGTGCCGGCTCCCACCACGACAAGGTTTTGGGACCTTCGCCAGGCACCTGGGCGATGTGGGGCAGGTGGCAAAGCTGGCCGACTGTCTGCGTGCTGGTGGCAGCCCTGGCCACCTCGGTCCGGGAGAGAGAGGGTTTCTCAGCAGAGATCACTCATACAGCATCCCCAGAATTGGGCACATGTGCTGGGACGCCGAGTCCAGGATGGGGTGAGCGAGGAGAGAGCTTCGGGGTGCTCAGAGAGTGAGGGGTCTTCAACTGCACCCGTAGACGTTGCATCCCAGGCAGGGTCTGCCTTAAATCCCTCCCTCCTCCCTCCCTCCCTGGCGAGGAACTTCTCCCGCTGAACTGGAGGATGCTGCAAGCTCCTGCGGACGAGCTGGAGGAGTCCTGTGGCAAAGTCAAGGCGAGCGGGGAATCAGCGTGCTCGTGCCGGGTGTCACCGCAGCTCGCTGCCGCCAGCCCAGCCTGCTGCGGCCAGTGTCACCTCCAGAACCGTGAGTGGCCTTGCGGGCGGGGGGTGCGGGGTCTGCGGGGGGCAGCGGGGCTTTCCCCGCCGCCAAGGTTTAACCTTCAGCGAGCCCGGCCGGTGCTGAGCCCTCCGGGGCCGGGGATGCTACTGCTGCTGGGCGCCGACAGCGGCTCGGCGTGGGCGGGGAGGGGACAACGTGGGAAGGGGGTCCCCGCAGCCCCCCCCCCCTGCTTGGGGCCAGCCCAGGTGGAGGCGGAGAAGTGGGGGGTAGCAGCAAGTCTCTGTGTGGCTGGGGGTACAATGGGGCCCCCCGGCAGGTCCCGGCTGCAGAGGGGTGCTGGGTGCTGAGTGCTCGGGCTCTGCGGGCAGCACCCGGCCCTCCTGCCTGCGGGTGTCCCCCTGCACCGGGGCCGGCCATCGCCTCCCCAGCAGCCGAGGTGCCCTCCGCCACGCAAAGTGGGGACACCCTAAGCCTGTAGGATAAGGTGGGAAGGGAAACCCAACTTCTGGGCACCTCGGCATAGCATTTTGGACTCGCACGGGGGAAAGTGCTGACCACCACGGCCGGGTGCACCGGGGTCATGCGCCCACCACCTCGACATGGGCAATGCCGCGGGCCAAGGGACGGCAGGACGGGAGCCAGGGTGTTTCCCCAGGCACCCTGTGCCAGCGCTCCCCATGCACCCACCTCCCTCTTCTTTGCTGGGCCTCTTGGTATTTTATAAGTCACTCAGAAGCTGCTGCAGTGGGTTTGCCGGGGATGGATGAGCCGGGGGAAGCCGGCTGGAGGGGGCAGCGCTGGATGGGAAAACTTGTAAAAAGGTCCCTGCGGGGCAGAGGCTGCAGAGCGTGGCCAGGGACGCAGCGCTGGCGAAGCCGGGGAAAAAAAAAGATTCTTCCTTTTATAGCCAAGCTGGGGTTGTTGTTGGGTGCCTGCGGGCGCGTGGGTGCCACTACGGCCGGCCCGGCAGCTCCCCGGCTCCTCCGCCTCCCCCTGCAAAGCCGTGTGGTGCCTACAAACCACCCTGCCCGGGCAGGGAGCTGCTCTCGGGGCAGGTGGAGAACACGGGGGCCTGCCCTGGCCGAGGACTCACAGCCGGCCTGACGGCATGGAGAATTTGTGGAAGAGGCGCTGCCCCAGCCCACATCTCCCTGGTGGGTTTCTGCTCGGGGTCTACAGCTGTCAAAGGCAGTGCTGGGACTGGGGAGGGCTCGGGGATGCCTTTGGCACGCCCGGGGCTGCAGAGGGGTTGGTGGTGATGACTGGTAATGTCTGGGCACAGAGAGGGCAGTGGGGCAAAGCCGCTCTGTGGAACACGGCAGGCAAGGAGAGGTGGTGGGAACAGGCAGGGGGTGCCTGGGCTGGAGCTGGGGGACACGAGGTGCCCTGTAAGCAGCGAGCATCCCATGGAGCTGGGTGCAGCCCTCCAAGGTCACTGGGGGAGCCCAGCCGAGGGCTGTGGGAACCATGCCATGAGATGGGTCTGTGTGGGCCATTGGGGCTGGGGTATCTTTAGTACCCAGTCCTGGGAGGCTGCCCAAGGTCAGCCGAGGTGACTGGAGATGAACTCAGCTGCAATGTGAGAGCCTGGATGCTGTGCCCTGGCTTTGCAGTTTCAGGGTGGGTGCAGCCAGGGGTTTTTGGCTCCCACTGAACCCTGACAGTCCTGGCAGTCCCTGGGACCCCAGCACTGCTACAACAAATCCTCATGGCAGCATCACTCTGCACTGCAGGGCCGCAGAGCCCCGGGGTTCAGTGGGTGCATCTCTGCAGCCTCGGGCTCAGGACACCCAGTCTGTTTGATCTGGGGTGGGACAGGGGTGCTGGTCCTGCCAGACACGCTCTGCCCCGCTGCTCCTGCTGGGCTGAGGACTTGTCCTGGGTCCTGGGATGCTCAGGGCTGGATCCCTGGGGACCAGCCATGCGGGAGCTCCTGGGGTGCTGGCAGAGCATCCTGGGGGAAGCATGGCTGTGTCATGCTGTGCCCCACAGCAATGGTTGGTGCCTTGGGGGGCCACTGAGCAGCGACTGCTGCCTGTGGGTGATGTGAGCTGGGCTGGTGACGTGAGGCTGTACTTGGCACCCACGGGCTCCTTGCAGGGAGCTGCGGCGCGTGTGGACACAGCTTCTGCTGCTGAGTCACGGCCACACCATGCCTGGTCAGCCCCTCCTGCTCACAGCCAGACCCCCACACACCCCTCGCTCTCCTGTCCTGAGAGGGGTCAGCCCCTGGGAACCCAGAAACACTCCCTGTACCTGCCATTGTCCCATTCCAGCTGCAGATTTAGGGCTGGAAAGGTCACTGAAGTCAAGGTGCGTGCCCTCTGTCACCCTGCCATGGCCAAGCAGCACTGGGGATGGGAAGCCTCCCTACAGTCCCCTTAGGGTCTCAAGCCTCCAAGCTCTCAGCTGAATCCCTCCTCCCATGGGCAAAGCCACCTCCAGCTTTCCCTGTTCAGAGCTGCTACGTGGGGGGTGGAGTAGCCCTGACTCCCGTCTCCTTCTCCTGGCCCTGCAAAATGAGGTGGGCAGGGGCATGGGGGTGTGGGAGGTGTGTGGGAGTTCCCCTATGCTGACTCCATGTGCACCAGCCTGCACCACTGCTCAGGCACATAGACAGATGACGGGATGTAGTGTTTGGGGGTTCTGGGGCTGCAGGGGGAGAGGGAAACGAGTTGGTGCATCCTGACCCAGTGCAGCAGCAGCAGCAGCAGCAGCAGCAGCAGCAGCAGCAGCAGCAGCAGCAGCAGCAGCAGCAGCAGCAGCAGCAGCAGCAGCAGCAGCAGCGGGGGGAGCCCTACCAAGCCAAGAGGCACGGCCGACTGGGATTCCCCCTGTGGAAGTGGCTCCAAGCACAGGCACCCACCTCTGCTGTCCATCCGTGCTGGCCCGTGCTTGGCTGTGCTGCCAGCTCCTCGCAGGTGCAGCTCCCCAGGTGCCCCCCACAGCCCAAACTGCTGAGCCTCGGCTGCATCCGGGAGCATCCCATCACCCACAAAGGGCGGCCAAAACCCTCCAAAATACCAGCCTGAGCACCCTCCGGCCGCCGAGAGGCTCTGGCTCCAAAGCACACAGGGCTTGGCCACGGCTCCAAACACGAGGAGCTCGGGGGTGGCTGCGGGCACAGAGGCCATTTGGGCAGTGCGTCCGCCTGGGCTGCACTGGACAGAGGCCGATGACGGGACTGGGGGTGGGCAGGAGGTGCCCCGACAGCCCCTGCACAACCTCTGGCTTCACCATGGCCACCGGCTCCTTCCAGGATCTCACTGGAGCTGGAGGACACGGCCGGGAGAGGGACAGCCCCGTGCCCTGCGCCCCCAGAACCGCGGCGTCCGCCTCTCCCTCCCAACCCTACATACTTCTTCATATGCCCATATGGAGCCGACCGACGTTATGGAATGTTAAGAAGTATGTATTTTTGGGCTGGGACCCCCACGCCGGGAGCTCCCATCATCAGCACGGTGCAGACGGCGCCTCCGGAGACACGGTGCGTCCCTGGGGCTGGTAAAAAGGAACCAGATCAACTTGCAACTGGATTTGGTCCCCTTCAACCAGCTGCAGCGGCGCATGAACTACGGCACCTGCTGCCCCTCGCCGCCGCCGCCGTGCTGTCCTTAGCGGGCCCGGGGTGAGGAGTGGGTGCAGGGAGCGGGACAAACGGGGGGTACAGAGTGGGGCTTTGGCTGGTTTTTGAGGCTGCCCGGTGGGGAGGAAAAAGGTGGAGCGGCTGCAGGTCTGCTCTCCAGACCGCTGTGGGTGCTCGTTAGAGCCGCGGTGTTTCACCGGTCGGGAAAGGCCCCGTGAAGCCACAGCACTCCGGCACAGGCCCGAGGAGCCCCAGCCCGGCGCGTCCTTCCCCCTCAGCTCCCGCACCTCCCGGCCGAAGCGCTCGGGGCGAAAGGGCTCCCTGGGGGACCCCCTAGAGTCCGACCCCCGAGGACAGGAGAGCCCCAGCCCCGCTCCAGCACAGACAGCAGCGTCAAGAGGAAATGAGAAAGTGAAACTCAACGAGCAGTGTCGGAAACTTCTCGATAATCATCGTCCTGGACACAACCTAACTCAGTTTTTCCGGACGCCATCTTTTCCTCCCGTCAGAGCACAAGAGACGCCCGAGAAGTTGGCATCGGGTGTCGCGGCCCCGCAGTGGGTGTTTGAGGACAGCTCCCTTTCTCTGAGGGGGGGACAGTAATGGGGGGCTGCTCACCTCGCTGAGCAGCCACCGAGCCCTGTGCCGAGCAGGAGCCTGGGCTGGGGCTGCTTTCAAGGGGAAGGGGCGGCTTGCTGGGTGGGAGAGGGGTGGCTGGGGGCGATCCTGCGGGGCGGAAAACACCAGTGACCCCACCTGCCACCCGCGGAAAAAATGTTGTTCTTACTTCCCAAGGAACCAGTTTTAGAGCAGACTCATCGCCGTTCTCGCTCTCGCTCCCGCCCAGCCGATCATGGGTAGGTTGGGTGACTTGTGGGGTGTGGGGCCTGGGCCCTGCAGTGGAACCGATCGTGGGGGGCACGGGGACCCTGGGGTTTGTCCCTTCTCCCACCACGTGTCTGCAGGGCTGGAGGAAAGCAGCACTGGGAGAGCTGCTGCTGCCACCGGGCCCCTGCCCTGCCCGGCACAGGGCGCTGGGCTCCGGCCAGGAGGAGCTTTAGTGCCCACACTCCTGTCCATCTGTCATTTTCCTTCTTAGCCGTTTTTCCGGTTGCCATTGCATTCTTGGTGGGACTCGCCATAGGAGCTGTAATTGTAGGTGAGAGTTTGACACGTGATGAGCAGCGCTTGGCTTTGCTTGGGGAGCTGCAGAGAGGGAAGGGACAGCACTGGGCACTGCCTGGAATTCTGCCTGCCCCCACTGCTGCAGCCCTGCACACTGCTCCTCTCCTGCTGCCCATGGGGTGTTCCCAGCCCTGCACCCCCAGCCCTCACTCCCTGCTCTGGTCCCTGGGTGCTTTTGGGGAGGCTGATGCTGGTGCTGGTGGCAGGGGGAGATGTGGGTCACAGAGAGCACCCTAACGCTGCTCTGTCCTCCCTGCAGCACTGGCAAATGATAAGACCATGGACTTCTCCATAAATGCCGAGGGTGCACGTATCCATGTGGGTGAGCGTGGAGGACAGGAGCTGAGGTGTGCTGGGTGGGACACGGGGTTGTACCCTGGGCTTACACTGAAGCCAAAGCAGCCCTTAAATCCCTCACTTTTTTTTTGTTTGTGCCCAAACTATGGGACAGGGATCAATTCCAATGTGCTGGGAAGAGGTAGGACATGCTGGGGTAGGGGTCAGGGCTGAGGGCATCAGGGGCTGTGCAAGAAAGTGTCTGCTCTGTGGCAAGAACTCCTGTGTCCACTGGCAGCTCTGGTCAGAGATGGAAAGGGAGAGCAGAAAGGGGTTGGATGTGCTTAGGAAGCAGAGCTTCTGCAGGCCAACTCTCTGGCACAGGCTGAGAGACACTTGCTGGAGAGACATTCCTGGCTGTCCCTGACTGGAGCTTGTCCATCAAGAGGCAGCCTTGATACTTCTGTGACATCACACTCCTGTCTTTCTTTATAGGGAAAAAACAAAAGGCCTGACTCTGCCCTGCAAGCATCAGCAGCATACACTGTGCTGTCTGTTAAAAGAACTCCTGGTGACCATGGCAGTGAATAGAAGCAGATTTCCTTCCTTTCAAGTAGCCTGATTCAATGTCTTCCCACTGCTGGAACTGGGAAGCCCCCCCAGCTTCCCCTTTAACAGTATTTGGATTACTTTGAGCAATACATGCTTTGAAAGCTTTAACAAAAGTGCATTGATTGTGTGGTTGTGTGTGGCGGTGCTTGGTGGGTGTTGTGGCTCAGGTACCTGCCCAGCACCTGGGGGTTTGCTGTGCTCCAGGAAGGGATTGCAGCAGGCAGTGTTCCCAGCCTTGCTCCCTGTCCCCCTGCACAGCGAGGGGCTGGCTCCCACTGAGTCCTGGCAGTCCCTGGGACCCCAGCACTGCTACAACAAATCCTCATGGCAGCATCACTCTGCACTGCAGGGCCGCAGAGCCCCGGGGTTCAGTGGGTGCATCTCTGCAGCCTCGGGCTCAGGACACCCAGTCTGTTTGATCTGGGGTGGGACAGGGGTGCTGGTCCTGCCAGACACGCTCTGCCCCGCTGCTCCTGCTGGGCTGAGGACTTGTCTTGGGTCCTGGGAGCCGTGGCTGGGATGCTCAGGGCTGGATCCCTGGGGCGGGAAAGAGAACCCCAAAAGTGCAGCCCTGTCAAAAACTGCTGCTGTTTCTGGCGACTCAAAATCCACCAGACCACCATCTGGGTGAGACTCTGCCCCTTCTTCAGAGCCACACTCTGAGACCTCTTCCTCGGTCAAGATGTCAGAGTTCTCTCCATAGCTCTGAAGCATGGTAATAAATTTTTTCCAGGGCAGAAGCAGTCTTGCCACCTCCATGTCTCCAGAAAACAGCAATTGGAACAAAGCATCGCCTAGGGGTTGCCGATAGTCTTTCGACATCGCTTTTTCAGTGCTAGGGAAAAAAAACATGCCTTTTTCCCCAGAGACAGAAAACCTCAAAATCGGCTCTAGGAATGTCCACTCTGCAGCGCTGGAAAACGTCCGCCCATAAATCCAGGACTAGGGAATCCTCTGGAGTTAGCATAGCTGTTACCATGCTTGCAGCTCACTGGGAAAGGTGTTCCGACTATCAAAATTGGCCTCCTCAGCAAAGGAGAGTGCGAATCCCGCGAGCCGGACCGAAAAACCCCTTTGCTAAATCGGGGGATGAAGCACGGTACCTCGTTACACTGTTGTAGACTTACAAGTCGGGGTCACCAGATGTCGCTATTGGACACCAAATAAAGAGGCCTGACTCCAAAGGCAGAAGGCGCTCAGAAGGCTTTATTGTCTACTTTTTAGTACCTTTTATACGGTGTTGAGACACAGACTTAACATGATTGGTAAAAGAGAACGACACCTCTCTAGTCCCATTGGTGGAACAAGAGAAACATAGTCAGCACAGCTGTACAGATTTGTTTTGAGAAACATAAGTTATTTACAGAAATTGTCCTTGAAAGAAAGACTCTCCTGAGAAATCTTCCCTTGGGAAAGAAATCAGCCACTGGCAGGCTGAAAACCTTTTCAGACTCAGGAATGTCAGGCTCACAGTTTCCCTCAGTGGAAAATGACAGGCTCTCTGCAGGGACAACCCCAGGGTCCAATGTCCTGGACATGGGCAAGCCCCAGCCCTGCTCCAGCAGAGACAGCGACATCAAGAATTGATGAAAATGAAAGGGAGACTCAGTGATTGGGCAATTTCCCATAAATTACCCATCCTGACCTTCCCTGTTGGGATCTTTCCTGCAACACCTTGACCCTCAGAGCACAGTACACACAGGACAGGTGAGTGGTGTCCCCTCACAGTGTTGCTATGTCCCCACGGTGGGTGTTTGAGGACACCCGCTGCACTGGGGGAGAGAGAGAGATAAGATTGAACTGAGTTAGAGGCTGTGGGATGGACCTGCACAATGCCATGGCAGCACCAAGAAGCTTATCTCCCCTGACCTTGGGACAAAGTGCCACTTGGTGGATGCCCTAGGGAGAGAAGCCTGTCGGAATCTGCCAGGCACTGCAATGTGCTCAGCCCACGGAAGGACGTTCAGAAGGCGTGTTGCTGATGTGGCAATGTATGATAAGTCGCTTAGTGAAAAAAAAATGTAAGAAAATACAAGGTCTTGAAGAAGGCTATAAAAACAGCTCCTTTCAATACATATTTCACTCTCTACTGGTCTGAGTCCATGCACTGGTGGAACGGCCAGGTGGGCCTGGGCCGGCAGGAGCCTGGGCTGGGGCTGAGGGGGTCTCTGCTTTTATGGGGTGGCTGGGGTCTCCTAGGTGGGAGAGGGGTGGCTTGGGGCGATCGTGCAGGGCAGCAGAGCCCCGCTGACCCCACCTGCCACTCAGAAAAAATGTTGTTCTTGCTTCCCAAGGAACCAGGTTTAGAGCAGACTCATCGCAGCTCTCGCTCCCGCCCAGCCGACCATGGGTAGGTTGGGTGACTTGTGGGGTGCGGGGCAGGGGACCTGCAGTGGGACAGTGCGGACAGGTCTCAGGAACCCTGGAGTTTGTCCCTTCTCCCCTGTCCTCCCGGGATCTGCCGAAGAAGGATGGTGCTGAGAGAGCTGCTGCTGCCACCGGGCCCCTGCCCTGCCCGGCACAGGGCGCTGGGCTCCGGCCAGGAGGAGCTTTAGTGCCCACACTCCTGTCCATCTGTCATTTTCCTTCCTAGATTGCAAAGCCATCGGTATTGCATTTGCTGTTGGAATTGTCATTGGAGCTGCAATTGTAGGTGAGAGTCTGGCACAGGATAAGCAGCGCTTGGCTTTGCTTGGGGAGCTGCAGAGAGGGAAGGGACAGCACTGGGCACTGCCTGGAATTCTGCCTGCCCCCACTGCTGCAGCCCTGCACACTGCTCCTCTCCTGCTGCCCATGGGGTGTTCCCAGCCCTGCACCCCCAGCCCTCACTCCCTGCTCTGGTCCCTGGGTGCTTTTGGGGAGGCTGATGCTGGTGCTGGTGGCAGGGGGAGATGTGGGTCACAGAGAGCACCCTAACGCTGCTCTGTCCTCCCTGCAGCAGCAGTAGGTGGTATGCCGGTGTCCCTCTCTGCAGTGGGGATTAGCAAGACCAAGGGTCTTGCCATCACTTTCACGGCTGGTGAGTGCAAAGGGGAGGGGGGATAGGCTGTACTGGGAAGGAACACAGGGTTGTACCCTGGGCTTGCTCTATAGCCAAACCAGTTCTTTAAAACCTCACTGGTTCAAATCTCCTCAAAGTGTGGGACAGGGATCAATCCTAATGTGGTGGGATGAGGCAAGACATGCTGGGGTAGGGGTCAAGGTTGAGGACATCAGGGGCTGGGCAGGCAGGTGTCTGCTCTGTAGCAAGAACTCCTGCGTCTACTGGCAGCAGTGGCAAGTGGCAGAAACGGAGAGCAGAAAGGGTTTGGGTGTGCTCAGGGAGCAGAGTTCACTGCAGGCCAACTCCCTAGCACAGTCCATGGAGATCCTTCCCTCTCCCTGACCAGGGAAAGTCATTGGCTGTCCCTGCCTCATGTTTATCCCTCAGCAGGTGGCCTCAATACTCCTGGAACATCACACTTCTGTCTTTGCAGGTGCAAAAAAATTGGCCTGACTCTGCCCTGCAAGCTGCAGCCAATTGCATAAAAACTCTCAGTGATCCATGCCAGGGAATAAAAGCAAGATTTCTGCCTTCCAAGCAGCCTGATTTGTCTTTAAAAGGCAGGTGCTAAAAAGTCCCATGACACCCACAGCTTCCGCTGCAAATGGTTAGGATTCATTTTAACCATAAAATCATGTTAAACAATAAATGAACAGTGACAGTGTGTCTGTGTGGCGATGCTTGTTGTACGTTGTGGCTCAGGTACCTGGGGGTTTGCTTTGCTCCAGGAAGGGATTGCAGCAGGCAGTGTTCCCAGCCTTGCTCCCTGTCCCCCTGCACAGCGAGGGGCTGGCTCCCACTGAGTCCTGGCAGTCCCTGGGACCCCAGCACTGCTACAACAAATCCTCATGGCAGCATCACTCTGCACTGCAGGGCCGCAGAGCCCCGGGGTTCAGTGGGTGCATCTCTGCAGCCTCGGGCTCAGGACACCCAGTCTGTTTGATCTGGGGTGGGACAGGGGTGCTGGTCCTGCCAGACACGCTCTGCCCCGCTGCTCCTGCTGGGCTGAGGACTTGTCTTGGGTCCTGGGAGCCGTGGCTGGGATGCTCAGGGCTGGATCCCTGGGGACCAGCCATGCGGGAGCTCCTAGGGTGATGGCAGGGCATCCTGGGGGAGAAGCATGGCTTGCACCACCAGCTCTGGGGACCCGCTTTTTGTCTGAGGGCTGTGAGAATATGAGGCTCTTTTGTACTTTTTCTTTTGGGGCTTGGTGCCTCTGGGGCATTTTGAGTCTGGGGGCCTGTGAGTCTTGTCGTTTTGCCCTGGCTCCAGCCTGCCTTTTGGCTCTTTTGCCTCCGCGGGCTCTTGCTCGTCCTGGCGTCTGTCCCGCCCCGTTGTGTCCCTGCCCGACGCCCTGCTGCTCCATCCCTTCGTTCCTGCCTGCCTGATCCACCTGTGTCCAACCCTGCCCGCCTCCGATCCAGCCCACCCTGCTTCCCGATCCCCGCTGTGCTCCCGTCCACGCTCCCGCACCTCTGCCCAAGCCGCACTCGCTCTCTGCCTGCCCGGCAGGAGCTCACAGACAGGCAGCGACCACGTCCTGGTGCACATGGACAGCACTCCCCCATCTGCTGCTGCTAACTCCTGCTTTTTGTCCCTGTCTTCCTCTCTCTCCCATTTTCCTTTCTCCTTCTCTGTCTTTTCTAGCACCTTTTTAGTAGGGTAACTTCTTTTTTGTTTGTTTTTTCGTTACCAATAAACGGTTTTCAGATACACTGTTGTCTCGGTTGACTTTATTTCCTTCCAGACCATCTATTTTTAAAAGAATTCCTCGCAGTTCCCCTCAGTGGAAAATGACAGGCTCTCTGCAGGGACAACCCCAGGGTCCAATGTCCTGGACATGGGCAAGCCCCAGCCCTGCTCCAGCAGAGACAGTGACATAGAGAATTGATGAAAATGAAAGGGAAACTCAGTGATTGGGCAATTTCCCGTAAATTACCCATCCTGACCTTCCCTGTTGGGATCTTTCCTGCAACACCTTGACCCTCAGAGCACAGCACACACAGGACAGGTGAGTGGTGTGGAGTTGCTGTGTCCCCACAGTGGGTGTTTGAGGACAGCACCCTTTCTCTGAGGGTGGGGACAATAACGGGGGGCTGATCACCTCACTGTGCCAGCCAAAACCTGGGCCAGGCAGGAACCCAGGCAGGCTCTGAGGGATGCCTGCTTGTGTGGGAGACCCGGGCTCCTGGGTGACACAGGTGTGGCTGGGCACGATTGTGCAGGATACCAAAGTCCTGCCAGCCCCACCCGCTGCCCTCGGGAAAACTTCATGTTCTCATTTCTAGAAGGACCAGGCTCACAGAGGACCCAACACAGCTCTCGCTCCCGCCCAGCAGGCCATGGGTAGGTTGGGAGGCTCATGGGAGGGCCCTGTCGTGGGACTGCAGAGGGGACATGGGGCCCTTCTCTCCTTCTGACAGTCTGCAGGGCTGGAGGAAAGCAGCACTGGGAGAGCTGCTGCTGCCACCGGGCCCCTGCCCTGCCCGGCACAGGGCGCTGGGCTCCGGCCAGGAGGAGCTTTAGTGCCCACACTCCTGTCCATCTGTCATTTTCCTTCTTAGCCGTTTTTCCGGTTGCCATTGCATTCTTGGTGGGACTCGCCATAGGAGCTGTAATTGTAGGTGAGAGTTTGACACGTGATGAGCAGCGCTTGGCTTTGCTTGGGGAGCTGCAGAGAGGGAAGGGACAGCACTGGGCACTGCCTGGAATTCTGCCTGCCCCCACTGCTGCAGCCCTGCACACTGCTCCTCTCCTGCTGCCCATGGGGTGTTCCCAGCCCTGCACCCCCAGCCCTCACTCCCTGCTCTGGTCCCTGGGTGCTTTTGGGGAGGCTGATGCTGGTGCTGGTGGCAGGGGGAGATGTGGGTCACCCTAACACTGCTCTGTCCTCCCTGCAGCACTGGCAAAGGGTGAGACCATCGACTTTTCTAGGAATTTCAAGTATTTTGGCTTCAGTTTCAGCATTGGTGAGTGGGGGAGGATAGGCAGATGGGCTGTGCTGGGAGGGAATACAGGGCTGTTCCCTGGGCTCCTTGTAGAACTAAATCATCCCTTGAACCCCTCACTGGCCTGAATCCAACTGAAATCTGGTGAAGGGATAAATCTCCAATGTGCTGGGAAGAGTCAGGACCTGGTGAGATCAGGGTCAGGGCTGAGGGCATTGGGGCTGTGCAGGCAGGTTAACTGCTTTTTGTCCACTGGCAGCAGTGGCCAGAGGCAGAAAGAGAGAGCGGAAAGGGGTTGGGTGTGCTCAGGAAGCAGAGCTCACTGCAGGCCAGCTCCCTGGCACAGTCAGGGTGCAGCTCCCCAGCTGCCCCCACAGCCCAAACTGCTGAGCCTCGGCTGCATCCGGGAGCATCCCATCACCCACAAAGGGCGGCCAAAACCCTCCAAAATACCAGCCTGAGCACCCTCCGGCCGCCGAGAGGCTCTGGCTCCAAAGCACACAGGGCTTGGCCACGGCTCCAAACACGAGGAGCTCGGGGGTGGCTGCGGGCACAGAGGCCATTTGGGCAGTGCGTCCGCCTGGGCTGCACTGGACAGAGGCCGATGACGGGACTGGGGGTGGGCAGGAGGTGCCCCGACAGCCCCTGCACAACCTCTGGCTTCACCATGGCCACCGGCTCCTTCCAGGCATTGGATGGCTTTGTTACGAATTATGATTCACCTTGTGCCACCTTGAATCAGGTGACAGGCTGGGTTGGCAAGTACTGTGTGTCCCGTGCTGTGCCCCATGTGTGACCTCAGGGCTCACCCCACACTCAGTTGAGTTTCAGTTCCTGTATTCTCTCTGTTATTTACCTCAAATATGTCGCATTATGCAACAGTGTTGGTAAACAAGGCAGCAAGTGTTTCCCCAGCACCCTGAGTTCTGGCTTTCCAGGGCAGTGCCAGCATGTCCAGGGCCATGGGAGCAGGGTCCAGGTCCAGGAGAGCCCCATGTGGCCCTGCTGCCTGCATTGCCCTGGATGTGGGGACACCCAATGGCAGCAGGGAGCTGAGATCTGGGGGATCTGCTCCTCTGTGGGGTGTTCTCCCTTGCTAGGGGGGATGGTGGGGCTCAGGCCGGCCCAGCTGGGGGGGCCTGGTCTGATTTCTCCTCACAGCTGTTGGTCATTGTCAGGAAAATTAATCCACAAACACCAGAGGTTTATGTCCAAAAAGGAGACAGAGGAGTCCTTTTTCTTTATTTGAATAAAGAGAGAGAGGCCATGGGGCATTCCCCTGGGGTCTCTCAAATTTTTGGAGGACGCAGCCTCCTTTTTGTCCTAATTCTCGGCCGCTTGTCCCTTCTCTCTTTCCCCATAGGCTGAGGTACTTGACAGGTACAGACTTCCCGGAAGGCCTGATACCTGCGATACCTTCCCCCCCACCACCCCAGTGCATATTCCCTTCTTCATTCTTAACTTTTGTGTACTTCATGGTGCTCTTTCAGTGCCTCTTTCATCTTTTAGTGGAATCCATACCATTGTTTCTGTTGTCTCTCACTGATAGCTGCATCTTATCAGCAGACCCACAGCTTGTTTGTAAAGACAAACTAGTCATTCCTCTCAGTCATTGTACTGCTTTGGGCTGGGGTAGAGATAATTTTCCTCCCAGGGGCTGCTCTGGGGATGTGTTTTGGGCTTGTGCCGAACACGGGGTTGATGATACGGAGGGGTTTCATTAGGGCTGAGCTTGCCCAGCCCAAGGCCTTTCCTGCCCCTCACGGGGCCATGCTGGGGGGGATTTGGGTGTGTGTGGGAGGAGACGGGGCAGGGACAGGTGACCCAGCTGGCCGATGGGATATCCCAGACCGTGTGACACAGATGAATGGACAAAGGAGATTTTGGGAATGATGGCGTATTTTTTCCCGAGTCTCTGCCCCGTGTGAAGGGGTCCTGCTCAGGGGTGCTGAACCCCTCCCTGCCCACGGGATGCAGGGAATGAATTCCTAGCTTTGCTTTGCTTTTGCTTGCATGTGCGGCTTTTGCTTTCCCTATTGAACTGTTTCCTTCAACCCATGACTTTTCTCGCTTTTACTCTCCCTGGTTCCGATGGGGGTTGGAGGGGTGTGGGTGATGAGCAAGCGGCTGCGAGGTGGGGCTGGCTGGGGTTAAGCTACGACAGCCACCAATGCTCCCAACAGGGCTCTGTTTTGGCTGCCGTGACCCCCCCGGTACACACCGGGACCCTCGCAGTTGTCTCCCGTGACCCCGCTGGTACCCGGCTGGGACCCCCACCTCTGCCCTGGGCCCTCCTTGCTGTGTCTGACTCGCCGAGTAATGACTCAGGCTCCGCCTTTCTGCGTTCTTCCCGGGCGTGACTCGGACGCGGCAGCCCTGGGGCGAGCATCGGCACCATTACAGTCCACCGGAGACTGCGGGCAGGTGGGCAACGCGGGCAGTGCTCCTCCCTTCCCTCTTCCACCTTCCCTGTCCTCTTCATCTTCCTCTTCTCCCTCCTGCCCTCCTGCCTTTTTCCCTCTTAGCCGTGAGACACAGAGGCAGAGGAGCTGCCACTGGAGCAGTTGCCCGAGCAGGTGAAGGTCTGGCACTCGGGTTCACTGCCAGGCTGGGGGCTGCGAGTGCTGGGGCTGGAGAGACTCAGGGTGCTGCTGGGAGGGAGGGAGGGGCAGCACTGGCCTGGAGCTGCAGGTTTCTGTCTTGGTGCCAAAACTGGGCTGTCATATATCCTGCTGTCACTCGGTGCAGGAGACTCTGCCAAGATTTCCAAGAGGAAGCCAATGCCAGATGAGGGACCTAAGAAGGAGACAATTTCAGATGAGGAATCTAGGAAGGAGACAGCTCCTGGTGATAACCCCAAGAAGGAGACAACTTCAGATGAGGATTCCGGGGAGACAAATACTGGTGATGAGGCCAAGAAGGAGACAACTTCAGATGAGGATTCCGGGGAGACAAATACTGGTGATGAGGCCAAGAAGGAGACAACTTCAGATGAGGATTCCGGGGAGACAAATACTGGTGATGAGCCCAAGAAGGAGGATAGTCCAGGTAAAGTGCAGGGTAAGTTTAGGTTAGACATCAGAAAAAAATTCTTCACTGAAAGACTGAGTGGGCGCTGGAATAGTCTGCTCAGGGAGGGGTGGAGGCACCATCCCTGGATGCGTCTATAAAAAGATTGAACGTGGCACTCAGTGCCATGGTTTAATTGAGGAGGTGTTTGGTCTTAGGTTGAACTGGATGATCTCAAAGGTCTTTTCCAACCTAGTTCCTTCTGTCATTTTTTGTGACTTCCCAAGAGAAGCCAAGCAGATGCCTGATCCCAAGATCTCTGCCAGGCATCCTGGTAGGCATTGGAAAGCTCCAGCAGCTTGGCCACCCTTTGAAGAGCTGGGGATGTGCTGGAGTGATAGGTGCCCTGAAAGTAAAAGTGGATGTGCAGTTGGGGCCTCAGTACCTGCTAAGTGTCTTGGGATTTGCTGTACTCCACAAAGGGATCCCAGTGGGCAGTGTTTCCAGCCCTGCTCCCTCTCCCCTGCGCAGCGAGGGGCTGGCAAGGCAGTGGTTGATTTCGTTATGAACTCTGATTCATCTTGTGTTGGTGGCAGGTGACAGATTGGGCTGACATGTGCTGTGTGTCCTGTGCTGTTCCGGGTTGGTGGGTGCTGTGGGCAGGGCAGGTGTGTGCCCTGGGTGTGGCACACTCCAGGGTGTGCCCCTTTCCTTTTTCCTTCCAGCCTGGAGGGGCATTTGGACCCACCCCACCAAAAGCTTCTTCCCAGGGGTCTTTAGGGGCTGGAGGCAGATGAAGGCAGGGGGAGGCTGGAGGAACTGCTGCTGGCTCTGGGATCCTGCTCTGCCTGGCACAGGGTGCTCAGCACTGCTCAGGGGAGCTTTGCTGTCCATATTCCTGTCCTTCTTCCCTCCTGTCATTTTCTTTCTCAGGGAACAAAGGGAAAGCTGTTGGAGCTGCCATCGGAGCCACAGTGGGAGCAGGTGAGCGTCTGGCACTGAATGAGCGGCGCTTGGGTTCACTGCCTAATCCCAGCCCCATGTGGTCCTGGGGACTGGGCTGGGGAGAACTGGAGTGCAGGAGGGTCAGTACTGGGCACTGCCTGGAATTCTGCCTGCCCCCACTGCTGCAGCCCTGCACACTGCTCCTCTCCTGCTGCCCATGGGGTGTTCCCAGCCCTGCACCCCCAGCCCTCACTCCCTGCTCTGGTCCCTGGGTGCTTTTGGGGAGGCTGATGCTGGTGCTGGTGGCAGGGGGAGATGTGGGTCACAGAGAGCACCCTAACGCTGCTCTGTTCCCCCTGCAGGAGTGGCGCTGGTTGGCCTCCCGCTGTGCATTGGCGCGCTGGGGTTCACAGGAGCCGGCATTGCCGCTGGCTCCATCGCTGCCAAGATGATGTCGGCAGCTGCCATTGCCAATGGTGGCGGAGTGGCCGCCGGCAGCACCGTTGCTGTGCTGCAGTCCATCGGTGAGTGGGGAGGGCAGGGAAGCTGGGCTTCATCTCCATGGCAGGGAACACAGGCTTGTACCCTGGGCTTGCTCTAGAGCCAAAGCAGCCCTTTAACTCCTCATGGTCTGAACTGCTCCAAACTCTCTGGGTTGTCCCTGCCCAGGAGTCCCTGGCTGGCTGTGCCCAGTGCTTGGTCCCTCAGCAGGCAGCCTCGATGCTCCTGGGACTTCAAGCTTCAATCTGTCTTTGCAGGAGCTGCAGGTTTTTCTCTTGGTGCCAAAGTTGGTCTGACATCTGCCCTGAGCTCAGTTGGTGCAGCAAGCGGTGCCTGGCTGTCCAAGTGGAAGAACCCTCCAAGTTACAAACCTAAAAAAGGATAAAAATCCAAGTGATAAACCCAAGAAAAAGTAACTTGGATGACAAACCTGAGGAGGAGACAACTCCAGACAAGAAACCCAAGAGAAGCCAAGCAGGTGCCTGACCCCAAGGCCTTGCAATGCACAATGGCAGGTGCTGGGAAACCCCCACAGACCCCTCAGGACTTTGCCTCCCCTTTTAAAAGCTTTGGATTCTGTTGAGCAATGAGTCCCCTGAAGCCAATAAAGTCACTTTTCCTGCAGCAGAGATGGTGTTTCTGTGTTGCTGTAGCTCTTGGGTGATGGTGGCATTAGAGGGGGACAGAGCACAGGGAATGTTCAGTCCCCAGGACTGACCCACTCGCTTGATGGTGCCCCCAGTTCCCCTGCACTCAATTTGGGGCAGCTGTGTAGTTACAGCCCACAACAGAGGAACAAAACCGAGTGTGAGTGGGAACACCACGTGGGAATCACCAGGTGTTGCTGTGTAGGTGATTAACTGCAATTTTAACCATGGCTTAAAAACTACTTAGCCCTCCCCATATGAAATCTGTGAGATTCTACTTTTAAACTGTGTATTGGTTTTGGAAAGTGCTTTTAGATTCCAACATCATACAGGAAAGGAGGATGGATGCACTCTTTTATTAAGGTTAAAGGTTTTTAATCACTTTTCCAGAATACAGATACGATTGAAACAAAAACTATTTTGAGGGTCTCAATAATTCACTTATTAATACCATACATTGAACTCTATAAATTCTCATATAAGAAAATGTCTGTTTAATATAGGTTATGATGCACTGGTGACCGAGTTACATCTTCTGAAGTAACACTTTGCAGTTATATAGCACCTTTCATCACGGGGCTGCAAAGCATCCTACGGAATTCTGCCTCATAATGCCCAAACGAGGTAGGAAAGTCTGGCCAATTTACAGAGGGTACAACAGAGGTACAGACTGGAAGGGACAAGACATGAGGTGTCAATCCTCAGGAGTGATGGGAAGTGTGTGCTGGGGCTGGGGGATGAGTCGGTGGCTTAGCTTGGGAGAAAGTTCAGGTGCCTCACATCACCCAAAGCTCCAAAGCTGCAGCCTGGCTCCTAGCAGGTCAAAAAGACCTTTGCAAATTGCTCTGGCTGTTTGTGCTATAAATATACAGAAGAGAGGATAAAAAGCCCAGGACTCGCAGGCCCAAGCCCCTCTGTTGACATATCCAAAGGCTGACTAAGAATCAAGACAACAAAGCTTGGGTGTGTGGCTTGTGCTGCCCACATCCACTTGGATCTTCCAAGATTAAAACCATGTCCTTGGGATTGATTTTGAGATTTGGGGTGCAAAGCTCTGTCTAACTTCATTGTTTCATTGTCATAAATTGCCTTCTCCCACCCAGCAGGTGAAAGCCAGGTATCCCAGATCTTGTTTCTTTAAGAAAAGCTGAATCTCTGCTGAAAATCCATCAGCTTAGGTAATGTGATGTCCAATGGACATTTCAGTTCTGTGGCTATAGGAATCCGAGCTGCTCGAGTTCCTTTGAGCCTTTATGACTTTAAAAACCTTTCTGCATCTGTGCAGCACTTCCTGGAGCAGATCCAGCACCGGTGCCAGTGGCTGAGCATCAAGGACCTCCTCAATTAGATGTTTTGAATATAAAACCATGAATCTTAGGGACTTTATATTAGTGTTTTGCCATCTACCATCAATTACCTGCCTCCCCAAAGCACCTTCCCAGCACCTTGCAACCTCTTCTGTCACTTGCTCTTCCTGGCATGTCCAAAACAGTTCCCTCTGAAAGCACAACACAACAGAAAACTTCTGGAATACTCCTTGGGTGGGGAAACTGGAGATAAAAAGGCAAGTTCTTATAGCTCTGCTGCTGGAAGAAGTTTGTGTCAGTGGTCAGACTAAATGAGGGATTTCTCCCTTAGTTTAAAAAAGTCCACCTAAAAAAGGGCTGGGATCAACTTCATAACAAGTACAGTAATATGCAAAACCATCTGACCTCCCCACTGTTTCCAAGCCAGTTGTTTCCTCCTGGGGAAGATGCAAAAGCAGTGTCAGTCCTACCTGTCCAGCCCTGTGGCTGTGGTGCTGGACCAAAGGGATTTCCCTGTAAGGCAAAGGAGGGGATCCTCTGTCACATCACCTGTTGAGTTATGAAGCTCTGTCAATGTGAGACAAGACCTGCAGCTCTCAGAGGCACAACACACCTATTTCAGTGCTCCCAAAACTCCTTCTAGCCTTTCTCCTCAGCAATGGTCCATGATTTTTACATGCTTTTGGTGCTCATATACAGGTAAAAACAACAAAACAACAGTTAATGCTCAGGAGCTCAACGGCTCAAAACATTTCTTACATATCATCTTACAAGGCTGATGATGCAACAAGGGGAAGTACTGCTAGGAAGCAGCTCTTTAATGAAGACAGCAAGTCTTTGTTTTGCCTCTGGAATGTTTAAAATGGATGACAGGTCAAGGAACAATGGGGAGCAACCTGTAGTGCTGAGGGGAGCGAAACTCCAGCCATGCCAGACAGTTACAAGCACAGTAAGCATTCAGTGCACAAGCATTTGTTCTGGGTTCTTTGGTTGTTAAGGCAACAGTGAAACTGCTGCTTAGGAGACTGGGAAGTTACTGAAATTGTTACAAAAAAAAAGAAAAGCCTTTATTGCACATTCCTCTGAGTCACCTCTGTGAGCTCTGGCACTGAACCAGCAGCACACCTATGGACATGTGATGAGGACTTTACTGCTGTTTTAAGTCTCCGAGGAGTTGGAAACTACTCCAGAGAAATCCTGGGGTGGCTTTTTTAGCAGTAGTTGACAGAGTAATTCCCAAGGTAATATAACTTCCTTTTGCACCTAGTTTTGTGGCTTTCAACATGCCCCAAGTTCCCTTGTTCAGTGAACTGAAGCCAGGATGGAGCAGCAGGTTTGCGCTGAGCACCCCCTGCACTGGGAGCTGCTGCCACTCTGGTGGCAGGAAGTTTTCTGTTTTTCTCACACCCATCTTTATTGCTTCTCTGTCCACACAAACTACAGTTTAAGAAAAGATTGGATGTGGCACTCAGTGCCATGGTCTGGTTGACAAGCTGGTGTCAGGGCCTCACGGTGGACTCGATGATCTCAAAGGTCTTTTCCAGCCCAGTTAACTCTGGGATTCAGCAGGACACAGCATGATTTTTCTGTTTAAAAGAATATCTCAATAAATCTTGTGTGCTTAGCAATCAGAAATGTTGATTACAAACAAGTTTGTGTTCAGAACTTGGAGCCTGTGTGTATAAACTACAAATATACTTTAATCCTTTAAGGTAATCCTTGTTGTGTATCAGTGTGAACTTGAGCTGGGCTGACAAGAAATCCCTCAAGAGGAAAATACAGCCCAGGTAAACCCTAGGAAAAGCAGACCATTGCCAAAGGGTCTCCAAGCAGGAGTGAAATTGAAACTACAACTACTTACTGTGTTAATTATTACTATGGAATTGCAATGAAATGTTTCTTATGTCACAACCACCATGTCAAGGGAGTTCACACAATGTTTAACAACTCTGCTCTCAGCCAGTGAAAGTGATATCACTTGCCTTGCTGAGAGAATCTGAAGGGCAAGTATCTTTCATTCTAAGTGTCTGCAAAACATTGACCTCAAAGAAAATGCTCCCAGACAAGAGACAGTGAGAATGTTCAAAGAAAGAAAAGTGTTTCTCATAAAGTACAAATACCCTATGTTATTCTATGGGAATATTTCTGTTAACGTTTGTTAAGGAACACTCAATTTTGGGATTATTTTTCACACCATCCCCACCCAAGGAAAGCCTGCCCTCCCCACAGCCTGTCCTCACTGCTGCCAGGCTCATTCCCAGGGGGGTCAGGGAAGGAGGAGCAGGCAAGGACAGCATGCTGCACCCCCAGCAGCCGCCCAGGAGACGCAGGAATTCCTGGAGTCTCCCCTGTGTTACAGCCACCGAGGCTCTGGGCTCACCTGTGTGCAGCAGACACCCCTCAGACATTCTTAATCCCCTACAAACTGATCTTTCCAGAATGACTTTGTTTTCTCTGAACTTTCCCAATGCAAACCACTCTGCCTGCAATTTCACTATTTAATGTAACAATGGGGAGGGGCAGGTTGGTGTTCATGGAACAAGAACTGAGCCAGCAGGAGAATGCCTGTGCTGAGGAGTGGCCAAAACATCTTCCCTGGAAATGCCAGGCCATGGAGAAAGCAGAACCTTTGCTCAGAAATGACAGACACAGATGGGCTTTGGTCAGACAGAATCAGGGGCAGGTTTTACTTTTCACAGAATTTTCTGTATTAAAAAATACATCAGTAAAATCTGTTACAGGCAGGGACAGGACTACCGAGTACACAACGTCAATAGACTACTTTCTGATTTTATTTTTGTTAAATTACTTTTGTAACTGCTAAAAAAATATTTAAAAAAAAACAACCAACCAACCAAAACAAAACAAAAAATCTGAAATATTATTCAAGGCTGTTGATTTTCATCTCTTTAAATTTTAGTGACAAGCTCAAATATCAGACCCCTGTTACAGAAGATGGATAACTGACCAGAGCTCGATAAAAACCATACAATTCTCCTCTTTAAAAATAGTTTGGGTTTCCAATGAATTTGTGACCACTGGTCATCAGAAACACACACCTAGAGCTTGAGAAAACAGACATACAGTCTCTGATAATGTCCTGTCCTCTAAACATCACATGGGAGCTTTTCTCTTCCAAAAGACTCAGTAACAGCCAAGTCTTAAAAAAAAAAATCTCTTTCAATTTCCAACACTATGACTAAATCTCTTTGGGTGGGGTGGGATAAAAACACACATGGTCATTTTCTACCACAGTTCTGTTCTCAGAAGTAATACTGCATCCTTTGTACAACACTGCCTGCATTGCAAAGGTGGAAAGAGAAAGTGTGTGTGTATTTCTGTTTGAAATGACAAAGTCCTCTCTAGATTTGCCTTACAAAATAATCAAAACCATAGGAGTAGGGAAAGAGGAGAAAGGAAAGCTGCCTTAAGGGAAATAACCTTTCCGCACGCCACAGTATTTGCTGGGTTATATGGACAGGCTGCAGAGCTACTGGGCTGGGCAAGGGATTCTGCACAGGACATCCCCCCCTGGACATTCCCCAAAAGGTCACTAGGAAGTTTGACCTACAGCACCTCTTCCAACAGAGTGAGAGTTGGTGTGAGCCTGGAGCGGGTGTCTGGCCTTGTGTGATCAGTTAACAGCAGCCAGAGTTGTCCACTGGGATGGCCAGTGGCTCCTGCCTTCCCAACATTTGATCCCAGTTAAAAAAAAAAAATTAAAAAAAAAAAAAAAATTACAGAAGTGTATGTGTAGGTGTATTTATAACGGAAGGTGTCTGTTTGTCTAAACCTCACCCCTTTCTCTTGTATCCTCTGGAAGAGCTCGAGGATCTTCACGTGTTCCTTGGCAGCAAGGGCTGCCAGCCAGCAGGCTGGGAAGTCACCTGAGCCACAGTCTAGCTCTCCATGCCCAACAGTGTGAGGGTAGGTTTTACACAAGCATTTTTCTTAAAAATATCTCACAACTTTTAAAAATCCTAAACAGATAAAGGATTTATGCACCAATCCAGTAGGTGAGTTCCACTTGGATTTGTTCTGAGGATTGATCGGTGCTACAGGACGTTGGGAGTTGCAGCTTACACAGCTTGCTTCCTTCCAGTTCCAGTTTGTACATCCAATGTGGTACAAAATCTGCCTGTAGGTGACATCATCTTGGCTTATCTGATACACATTTTCCAAAGGCTGGACGTATTCACATTTTGGTGCTTCTGATGTGTATTCAAAGAAAAATACCCCACTGCAGTTAGTCTGATAACTCAATATCAGAGTCCTCTGATTTGACTTTGGCAAGTTCTTCGTGTACCTCCCTCACCATAAGAATCCGTGTTAACATGATGTCCAAGGTTCCTGGGTCTATTGGCAATGTGGAATACCACATGGGGCTGTTGGGAACACAGGAGCGCTCAGGCTGCAGGTAGAACACATCACTCCTCTGCTTCACGCTTTCAGAACTGACAACGGAAAGGAAATAAGGTTTAGGAATATCAGGCTGCATTTACAATTTTACCAAGAGTTTAAGAGAGAGTCAGCAAAAAAATCCAGGTTACACTGAGATGGCAACACTGTCTCCCCCTTCCTCATAGGGAATGCTTAAGTTGTTTCCAGGTCACTCAGCATTAGTTAGTTATATAGAAACAAAGAAAATCGAAGTAAATTCTTTACAGCAGTGGATCTTCAGTTTCATCCAATTAATAGTAGAGTGATAAATGCATTTGACATGCAATCTCTGAGTGAAACTGGTTGTGGGATTCCAGAACTGCTGAATAACGTGGACAAGTGGAAATGGCCTCAAGGCTTAGACTGGATATTAGTGAAAATGTCTTCATTGAAAGCGATGTCCAGCCCTGGCACAGCTGCCCAGGGCACTGGTGGAGTCCCTGTCCCTGGAGGGATTTAACAGTTATGTGGATGTGGCACTTGGGGACATGGGTTGTAGTGCCCTTGGCAGTGCTGGGGGAACAGCTGAATTTGATGAGCTTAGAGGGAATTTTTGCATAAATTATTCTAAAGTGTGGTTTAAGAGCGAGTAAAACTAAATCCCAGCTTGCCTGACCATGCTGCAATGCTAAGCCCATCTGCTTGAAAGCCTGAGTGACTCCAAGGCAGCTTCCAGGCTCTGGTAGGGTTCTAAAGTATCTAGAGCCAGGATCCCTCCTGCCTGGCTTTGGGATAATCACACCAAAACAGCAAAGGGAATTTGTACTGCTGCCTGCATATAGCAGAGGCTCAGCTATGAAATATGATAGGGAACATGAAAATGCTTTCCCAGTCCAAGAACAACTAAAAGCTTCTAGTAATGTGCCAGTGAAGACAAGAAAGGTAAGAAGAGGGAGAGAAAGAGTCTGGACAGCTGCACACATGCTTCTGCCTCAGTAATGGGATATTTGTAGTAAGCTCAGTAGGATCATTTCTGAGAATGATTTATCTGAGTTTCAGCTGACACTAATGAGATGCTGTTTCATTTTGCATGTGTATTTTCTTTGAAGAGAGAAGAACATCATCTTCCACTTGCTCAAGGATCTAACTGAAGTTTATATAGAAACAGGAGAGAAAAATGATTTATATCTCTGTCCTTGCTGTAGTCTCCTTTCTAACTCCTAAACACGAGTTAATCTCACATCTCAGCAGGCAAATTTTATCAGGAGTTTTACCTAATTCACACTTCTGCTACACTCTTTCACAAGGAACATGATATTTCTCAGGTATTAGTTATAATTTCCTCACAACAAGGATGGTGTATGGGAAATAAGTGAGATGAGACTGCCATGGGCACTGTAGTAATGTCACGCATTTATATCAAAGAATTCATTTAAAGAATACATTTCTCTCTCTAACTCTGTTCTTGACTCAACACCAGTACTAAAAAAACCACCAAAACCTGTCTGGGGGTCTCAGTAGCAGTGCTACAGTTGGAATTCCTGTTCTGCTCCCACTGAGGGATTGGGAACTGGGGAGAGGAAGCACAGCGCAGGCACAGAAGGTCTGAGTGGGCTCCTTGCCCAAATGCCTGTTCTAGTCTACACACAGACCCAAACTCAAGTTCTGTCACTTACCATTTTGATAAGTAAAATTCATAAAGTCGGACTGGACACCGGAGGGGATTATCTGTGTTTTCAGCCATTTCCACTGCTGTTGGAACCTCCTCATCTTCACTGCGTTTCCTTTTGCCTACTGATAATTTATCTGGATACACAAAAATGGCATCACTAAAGTTCAGTGAAAAGCAGCACCTTCAGAAACAAGCCCTGGTGTCTCAGCCCAGCACCCAGTGGTGACTCTGCATCACCCAAACCCATTCCTTGAACTGGATCTGCCACATGCCACCATCCAACCATGGCCACCTGGTGTGATCTGCTGGGTGGGCAAAGGACTGCACATCCTACAGGCCAGATCCACAGCCCATTCCTCATCTAGAAAACCCACAAGAACTAGCAGGAAAATATGGAAGATATAATTTTACTTATTAAAGATGAATTCATGTAATGCACTGGAGCTCTGAACTGAGGAAGCCCAAAGGATCAAAGCCTTTCCTTTCCCAAATGCCAAAATTAACAGAAAAAAAATCTCACTGTCTCTGCCTCTGAGTGCAAGCCCCATATTGTTGTTCTCCACTGGGGCTGCCTGGTCTGCTCCCCACACAGACCCAGGACAAATATGGGAATTAAAAAGGCACAGTAAAGGTCTGGACTTGCAAAACCCAAGATTATTAAGTGCTGAGAAAAGGACTTCAGAAAAGGCCTTTAACTCTTGCAGTATTAATCAGCTTTATGCAAGCTGAGGATGTTATGAAAGACTATTAAACAAATTTGTGTCCAAATCTGTGACACCTCCTTTGTAAGTTTTTCCTGGGTGCCTTGGCTCATTCAGAATTTCTTTTAAAGCAGTGAAAAATAGCACAAATGTGCTCAGGATAACAGCGTATGCTTAGCTCTGCTTACAGCAGAACATATTTCTCCCCAGTCCTTTTTAAAAGAGAAGCAGACAGTACAAAATCACAGAATTCTCTGATTCTGTAATTCAGAGCGCACAAATGTGACTGCCCAGACACCAATGATCAGTGAGCACTCACCTGATTCTACCTCTTGTTTTTGAAAGGGTGGGAAAAAACGTAAATATGTCATCTTAGTATTATACTTCAGAGTTCGGGTGCGCCTCATGACATGGGCAAAGGACAGTTTCATGTGCTCACTGACATTCTTTAGTTGGAAGTATTTGGTGTTGAAGAACAGAAGGGTGTTCAACAAAACGATGGGGGAATATGCACCCAGCTGCTTACATTCCCACAAGTGTTCCTCTTCAATTCTTGAGAACATATAACCTACAAATAGGCAAAGAAAAAAAGAAAATAGTTATTTATGCATATAAATCCTCTTTCAGCTAACCTCTATTAATGAACCACATACTAAATCAAATTCACACCTATCATCAGCAATTGTAATCCAATAATACCAGAACACTGCATGCACGGACATAAGAGGAAGAATGGAGAACCAAGCTGTCGAACAGCATGATCTTCCAATACCTGAAGAGAAGGATAAAAAGGAATTGCAGACACTAGCAGACTCTCACTAAGTTCTAATTTCACTGTATTAAACCACAGTCAGCCAACTGCAACAATGTGTAATTCCTACAACATGAGGTATGAGTTTAAAATGTCCCATTTTGTGTATAAATAGCCCATTGTAATTATCCTAAATCAGTTAGGAAAAGGAGATACAGGGGCTTAGAAGAAATATGTTGTAAAAAAAAATATCACTGCATGCAGCAAATTATAGGTAACTGGATAATTTCTGTACTAAATAAAAAGTTCATTTTTCTAAATGAAAAGGCAGTTGTGGAGTTGCCAACATTATTCAGATTTCACTGATACTCTAAAGATGTCACCAGCCTTATGTGCTCATAGGGCTGGTGTCCAGCTCTATAAATCACATAATCAGGATTGAAAACCAATTTAAAGTATCAGCAGAATTTGGGAAGTCTTAATTTGGGAATTGAGACAAGATTCCAATGATTTGCTAATGTGATCTCCAGCCTCACCAGGAGTATTTCCAGGACTAATAGGGAAATATCAGTGCAACTGTACACAGACTTTGCAGTATCTGCTCTCAAATACAGTATTAAATTCTGGCTACTTGTATTAAAAAAAATGAGCTTAAATTTGAGGGAAGAGAAAAACTAATTTGTTGAGTGCCAGAATGGGAATCCTTTCTTTCCAAGGATTGATCAGAGGCAAAGATATATTTAAGTGTAATCATAACTGGCAGAAACAGACATAAAATCCATGGTGTAGAGAGGGGAGACTAACGTGAAAGCCTCAGATCACATTCTCTTCCTGGCCCTGAGAAAACATTAATTAATGATACAGTTTTGTCATGCAGCTACATAAAACAAAAGAATTGTCGTACCATTTGGAAGAATTGTAGGTTCCCAGATTTTCAAAAGTTTTGTAAGTTCAATCATAAACCTGGAATAGGGCTCGGTGAAAATGTTATCTATTCTACCATTTTCAAACAGGTACTAGAAGAGAAAAATACAGGAACATAAACAATTAATGGTTATATGATGTTGTAGAGGAGATACAGCACACCAAATTCATTCCCTTTCTTATGTCCCAGTGTCTTATGGGGCCAAACACTTTGGTGAAATCTCCAGTAAAACAGCAAATCAAATTTTCTGCAGGGACTGGGACCACTCCAGTGTGAGAGGAGCAAGAACTGTGGTTAATATTTCAAGCTCTAGAGCCGTTTTCTGCAAAATCATCTTCCTCTTAATATTCTTGAAAGAGTCTGCCTATAAAAACCAGAATAGTTATTGAGTATTATTCTGTTGAAAAGAACTTTACATATTAATACCTCCTGAAAGGAGAAGAAAGTTCCTTAAGAAAAGAACTTAAAGAAGGAAGAAAAGTTCCTTAAACTTGGCAAGGAGCTGTTTAAGAAAGTTTTCTAGAAGTCAGGAGTTTGTATCAATAAATAAGTCAAAACTGTGACACAAAAATCCCTGATGCTCCTAGAATTTATCAGTGGCACTTTGAATTTTAACTTTTTCTACATTTTGTCCAAGCATAGCAAAGAAAAAAAAATCAAGATAATTCCATGTCTAATTAAATAAGTTCTACATCAAAATAGCGTTTGACTATCTCAAAATGACTATTTCAGAACAGAAACAACCTGGCTGTTCTAAAGGAAACAGAAATGTACTGAACATTGAGTTTTAAACACAAATTAGCATTATTCTAGGTTTGTACTGCTACTGTTACAAGGCTGGTAATACTCTTAGTATTCACTAATTACGATGCAGTTATTCCCAATGTATTTTCTCTCTAAATACTGTCAACACAATAGATATATGTCTTGTCACTGAGAATCCTTCCTGAGCAATCTCTTCCACATGAAGTTACATGTTAGGAGAGCACTGTGCAATTATTTCAGATCTAAACCATTCCATCTTAAAACAAAGATTTCTGAAGAGAAAATCTTTCCTGCACATGAAAAATGATCAAAAAAGTTCCAAATCCAAGTATTTGTGTCTAGGTAGAAATATTCAGCCCCCACATCACATTCCTATAAGGATAGAAGAACTTGGTCACTGTGACCATAAGGAAGTCCAGGAAAAGGGGTCATATATGGGACTAAGGCAAACAGTGAAACACAAAAAAGAGACATTCTTGCCTCCTCTATAAAGCCCAAGCTGCTCTGTGGGACTGTGGATGTCCCATAAGTAACCAGAGCAAGTTCTGTATGTTCTCAGCAGTGCCCTAACTCCCAGAGTTACCTGCTGAATTCCAAGGCACAAGTATAAGATGCTGTCAGGGTCATATTTTTCTCCGTTTGGTCTCCGCACCTCTTGAATAAACTGGCACAAACCAAAACTCAGCTCAGCAAATGTGCATGAGAGAATGTCCTCCTTGAGCTTCACAGGATGAACTGAGGCCAAGGAAATTATTAGAAAAATTAATTCAGCGTATTAAATCTTCCCACATTCCTTATTATTTCATGTAGGCAGAACTCCTAAATTCCTGTCTCATACATGAATTACCTTGCATGACTAAATGGTGAACTCCTTCCTGCCTGTTATCTGAGAACTTAATGATTTGGCAAAAAAAACCCCAGGCAGCTGCATGTGCAATCAGTATAAATGCTACAAGTACTGAGGCTGCAGGAATTTAGAGCCCAGACACGTAAATGTTTGGGAGTCTGCTGAACCCAAAGTGTGGGACAGCAATGGCTGCAATGAGCTCAAGACTGCCTGGGACTGATAAATGGGTTTTACCTCTCCAGCTGGACTCAGGAGTGGGAGACTCACCAGAGCCAGAGAAAGACCCAGAGTATTTCTGGACATGAGTTGGGTGCAGCATAACCCATTTCTTAAAGAAAGACTTCAATGGGACGTGCAGTGGGTTTGGAAAGGGAAGCAGCACAAGCAGGAATTGACTGATCAGATGATCTGCAATGAAATTAGCAGGCTTGGCTGCTCCACTTCTCAGAAGCATCTGCTTGGGAATAAGCAGGGAATCTTTCTGGGAGTGGGCACAGTTTTCTGGAAATGACTGCAATATTTACTTCCTTGGCCTCAAGAAGAAAACATAGTAACTCATGTGAATATTTCTTTTCTGGGAAATAGACCCCAGCTGTTCTCATGGAGTGACAACGAAAATTCCAAGAGATGAAAAAGCAGATCTCATCCTAACTTGAATTTTTCCCTTTGGGGGTCTTTCTTATCTAAGTTCTGCCGTGCTTTTTAAATTGCAGAAGTAGCTATTATGGTTGGTCTCCTCCCCACCATTCCCAAAGGGCTCAATTCCATTCCTAATTTAAATTCTCTGCTTGATTCTGAAAATTTGCCCACAAAACTCAGTGCAATGATGTAAGATCTGAGACCAGGGAAAAGGGGACATTGCCAAATCCCAGTTCTGCCGGGCTTTTGTAAAAATAATAAAATAATTCATTATTGGAAAAATAAGCGAAATTGTATTTAATTGTCATTATTATCCATCACCCCTGTGAGACATGAGAAGCAATAAAGTTAAGTTTCAGGTAGGTTGCAGCACAGAATGGGCAGACTTTTGAAATGTTTTTTTTCCAGCTGTGAAGCCTAGAAATAAGGTGTTAAGATTTTGATGTTGGATAACACAATTTTTTTACAAAAAACAATTCTGCTGACCAACAAATACTTTGGGAATGTGCCAGCTACAGATAAAATGGATGTGGCCAAGTTGGTGTTGTCAACTCAGAATTATGGTCTGATAAGTCTGTAATTTCATGGTTCTATAATAGCTCAGAAAAGCTCTGCAGCTGCATAAAGCATCTGTGCTACAAATGAAGAGTTACTGCATGCAAAGGAAAGCAAAATGGAGATTTCTAATGCATTAGAGTATTTTTTTAAAGGAAGCAGATCAATTAAGAATGTAATAGCTATGATTTTTAAATATATGGAAAGACACATGACAGAATTCTATAAAATCTGTTCTCCACTCACAGGTATTGCAAAACTCAGTGATATCTAATCCTAATTTTTACTTGAACAATGAATGCCAAGTGCTCTTCAACTAAGTATTTCTGTTTCCACTGAGAGACAAATTTACCTGAAAACTTCAGGTCCCCTTGTTCCTCCTGTGCATTTTTCCATTGGACCCAGTTTTTCCAGGCATTTACCCCATACATGTACTTTAGGGTCATCCCAGAAACAGAGCAGCCAGGGTAGGAGCCCTGCATCAAATTCCGGGGCTCCACAGCAACTACAGACTTCTTCCGTCCCTACAAATAAGCAAAGACATCCAAACAAAGCAGCATTTAATTAGCTCCTCACCCACAGATGGTTAGATTAGGGCACATAATGTTGTTATTTCAAAATGTAAGAGATTTGTGTTCCAGAAGCACTTCCTTACCCGTCTTTTTGGCTGAGGGAAGCCATCCCTGTGTCTCCGTCTTGCCCGTGAACGTGAATGTAAAGCTGGTCCTTTACTGAGAGGGTCAAATGAGTCTGAAGTCAAATCAACACCATGAAGAGTTTAATCACATGGTTTAGCAGCCCAGGTAGAAGTGTCACTGTCACTGAGATACTATGGAACACCTTACGGCTGACAATCACACCTATATATTCAAATAATCCTGACATTTGACTAATTAAGCAATCTGTGCACTTGTTGTATAAAGATAGTAAATTCTCAATAGACAATAAAGGCCCCAAAAGAATGGGTGTATTTATTCAGGCAAATGTGATCTTAGTTGCTGCTCACATGGATTATACCCTGGGACACAGAAGTGATGAATTCAAAGAAGGCAAGCAAGAACTTCCTGCTCCTCCTGTCAGGGGTTCTGCAGAGTGCTGTCTTTAAAGACAGAAATAATATTCCAAAACCAGTAATTTTTTGTAGAGCTGATTAACTATTGCAGCTTTAAACATCCACTGCACTACATGAAAACACACAAGCAGGCTGCTGGGACAAAGCTCATGCAGAAAATTGTGTGTGCTTTTATAAAATGAGTTTTTCTTCACGTGACACCGACCTGATGGGAAATCTGCCTCCAGATCCTGTTCCACATCACCTTTGGAGAACTGCTTGAGTTCTGGATCAGGTTCTGGCAGGGCATTGGATCGTAAGGTGTAGTAATTCAACTCCTCCTCCCAGCTGTGTGGAGTGGACACTGCTTCTGATTCCAGATCTCCGCTGTACGTGCTGCCCTGGTCTGCAATGAGAGGGATCACAGGCACCATGTACTACAGGAAAGGCAGAACCAGGAGTTTGCAAGAAAAGATGCAGCAGGATCAAAATCCATTTGCAAAATAATAAAAAAATATCTTACTGACCTTTCTCAAATATCTTGGGGTCCAGGAAGAGCTCGTGCTCGGATGTTTGAGATCCTTTAAAAAAAGGAGGAAATCTGTATCTACACGACTGACAGCTTGCACAACTAATCTAAAATACTTTGAACAGCAAAACCCCTATGTATTAGGTCATAACATGAACACACATGCTGTACCTTCTCCTCCACTGGTCATGTTATTGCAGGGGAAACAGAAATGTAGAACTAATATAGGTTTGCTTTTCCAAAGGCTTCCATCCCTCCCTGCTTGTTATTTGAGTTATCTGTTGACCAGCAAGGTATTTTGTTTATCTATTTCTAGCTTGTTTCACTTTCATTACATGGCTTGCTTGCTATCCTACAAACCCTGACCTGCCTCACCCTTCCAGAATCCTCCGTAAAAAGCCTGACAGAAAAATTTTCTTTTAAGGCTGCTGCTCTGCCTTCTTGATTTTGACTCCTCCTTCTAACACATGATGTACTGATCTGGAGGTTTCTACCTCTAGTAACCTGTTGCTGTCACCACAAGTCAAATCAGCATCTAGAACCAGGGAAAGGGAAATTTCTGAGGTGAGAGGACCTTCACTGCATTTCATATTTTAAAGCCAACACCTACCACCATGAGAGTGTGTTTTTTCTCTCTCTGCATCTTCTGCAATCATTTCTGCCATCTGAAGGAGATCAGCTTCAAATGGATTAATGGAAACCTTTTCCTTGTTTTCCTGAATATTTTCAGTGATCTTATCAGCATTATCTGGGGTAGTTGGGATGAGCACAGGAACTGGTACCTATGGAACATGTGGAAAATATTATAACATAACTAGGGATGAAGTGAAACAGCATATACACAAGGGAGATCTCTCCCATTTAACCTTATGTATATTTTAGGACTACTAAAATGAAGTTAAAAATAACTCCAGACTGGACAGGTCTGTACCCTCCCTACAATTTGGAAGTTCTGTGTGGCAATGTTTAATCAAATATGATGTAATAAGGAAGGAAATGGCTTCAAGGACTCCAAATACCACTTGCATGACCAGACACAACAGCCAGTGACACAGTGCTGGGTGTGCTGAATGCAAAACAAGCCTGTAAACCACTGCCTTCTGTAGTGAACTGCAGGATAACTTACAGGTACTGGCATCCCTAGGGGAACTGGTGTGTACTGGGTGTAGAGGTGGAGGGGCACTGGCACAAACACTGGTACAGGAACAGGTACCACAATGATCTGGGGCTGAGCAGGTACTTCTTCTTCTGTTATACCAAAAACAGAACAAACCAAAAATTACTGGAAAATATCACACAACAACCTGAAAACTAATTAAGGTTTTATATTACATTCAAAAATACTCTCTGTTACATAAATCATGTATTACTCTCTCAACTGCAGTACAGACAATTCCAACAGGGGTAGGAGATCAGACACCCACCTGTCTGGCATTCTTTGTTTTGTGTGTGAGGTTTGCAGGAGGTGGCCTTCGTCTGGGTGATTGGCTTACACAATAAAGCTTTGTTTTTCAGAAGCCTGGGTGGTTTTGATGATGGGAGCTTTAGGGCATCTGTCTGGGTACTTGCCTGTTTGGGAAACACAAATGAAGGTTGAGTCAGTACTGGTTTGAAGAGTAACATAAGACTAGATTTTGCTCTCTACTATGGGAAGCTGAACAATTTAAAACTGTAATTGCTGATAAAAATGATAATTTAAAAACTACTGCAAAATAAGCTTGTTTATTTGGTGCTTTCTGGTTTCCATCTCAATTTACTTTGATCCAACAACAATGTTGTTTAAAGCTAATTTTGCTAATAAAGGTAATTTTGTTAACAGTGCAGCGAACAAATCTACAAGAATATTTGGTTTCTGTAGTCAAATAACTGCTATAAACTTTTGACCTTGGAATTTTACTGATGGAAGAGATACAAAAAAGAATTATGTTAAGATACTTTTGATGACTACAAGTCTGGCTGATACAGACACCAATAAAACTAAGTAAACTAATGTGAAACCACTGAAAACAAATAAATGTAAAAAATGAACAGCAATGCTGGCAGCAGCAGTATCATTTCCTGGTACACACTGACTATTCATGCTTGTACTAATTCCATGTCCTGCTAACTGCAATTTTCAGTCATGCATTCAAATAACAGGAACTATTTCAAAATAGAGGGAAAACTCATACTCTAATCTATAAGTGACACTCCAGCTAAAAGCAAAACTGTCAGTCTTCCAGAACCTCAAGCTACATAAAAGCATCTCTGTATTTTAGGAGAGTTGCAAGATGTTACACCACATACCTCAAAGAGCTCAAGAATAGGAACTCTCAGAGTTATCCCCAGGCAAGTGGTGACAGTGGTTCCCCACAGCTCTGTTACCACATTGCCAGGGAGTGGGGAAGGAAAATGAAGCTGCAAGAGCCTGGTCATGTCAGTCCCAGCAGCCCAGGCTGGTCCTCTCCTCCCAGGCTGGTCCTTTTGCCATCCTATCCCACTTCTGGGCACAAAAGACAGCCTCGAGTGCAGAAGCCACACAAGAATTACTTGGGAACCACACATACCTCAAGAGCTACAGTCTGACAAGTTTTGCCTTAAAACATCCAATCTGTCAGTGGACACAACAAGACTCTTGTACCATGTAAGTTCTAAGAATTTGTTAAAAAGCATCTGCAAGCTGGATGAATTTTAAATCCCAATCAAAAATTAGTTAAAAAATGATGGTGCCCAATTCCTGGATACTTCACTTGTTAATGATATAATCTGGGCAAAACTGAGAAAAGTCTCTTGTAAAACTTACATCTCCTATTGTTTTTGCTGTCACAGTAGGGACTGCACCTGTGAAGGAAAAAAAAAACATACAATAACATGTCTACTTATCATCAAGAACCATAATCCATATTCTGCTAAGGTCAAGAAAAAGAATTCCAATTAAAACTCATTCCCTAATGTATGTACATAAATTTAAGTCATTATTTATACCTAGATAAAGGAAGGACAAATGCAATCACCTGTACTGATGTGAAGCATAATGAAGAAGTGGCTGTTGCTCTCAGTGAAAAATAAAATCCCTGAGCAAATATAAATGTTCAGGAATAGAGATGTAAAAGTACAGGCATGGTATTCAGCTGCCTTACCCTGTAAAACATTGTTGGAGTTAACAGTAGGCTGGGCAGCTGGGGTGCTTGCAAGGGACACCACGTTTGCTATGACAGGGGTTGAGTCCTTTCTTAAAGAAGGAGGGCCTGAGGAGGAGGCTGGTGCCATGGAAAGGTTTGCTGGACACAGTGGACAGAAGAAAATGAGAATAAGCAGTAAGATAATTGAGAAAAAAAAGCATTTCTGAAACAACACCCACCCTTCAGATCTGTCTCCAGATGAAAGAGGTTGCTGTGTGAGAAGGGGATGTAGGTGTGAAGCTGCAGCATTTCAGTTTAAACAGGAGCTGGTTTCACAAGCAAATCAAGCAAGAAGGGAAAAGAGCTCCCACCAATGTAAGCAGCAGATGTGCACCAAATTGAAACAATGTGCACCAAGCTGAACATGGCCTGGTGCACACTAAAAATTTCTAGTTAATATTTAATTCGTTTTGAGTCCCTTACCCTTGCAGCCACCATCACTCAGTGGGAAATTATGCCCCTCTTTAGGATCAGTGATATTCCTGCCTTTTGTTTCCCTTTCTTTTCCTGTCTTTGTGGGCCATTGTGTCTCATTCCCTACAGAAGCTCATAGTTCCTGTTCCTGTGGGCTTTATTCCTACCCTCATTCCCATTCCATGCTCAAGGAAACAGCTACAGCACTTGTTAAACCTTGGGACTAATACTTCACAAGAATCAACACTTAATGACACAGAAATGGGAACTCTTCATAAGCCTACAGACTGCAGAGAAGTGGCTGGTTTAAGTGTATATATAGAAGTCTGTATTTAAAACCATTAAGCCTACTAATTTCACCACTTGATTGTTAAAATAATATTAACATTCTGCCATATCTTCTAGGTGTTATGAAGACAAGCTAGATATTTAACACATCTGCACCACACATCTGTACATTTTACCCCAATGAAACAGGCCTTTGTTTCATGAAAGTGACTGAAAGTAAGTGCTTTTGCTTCATCTTCTTTAAAATTTCTTTGGTACGCAAAGCAATTGTATTTTATACCTACGGAAGTTTGAAACGGTCTCAAGTAAAAGCAATCTAAATCACAGCCCACTCAACAGCACCAGACAAACTCCCCAGGAGAAGACAGATCTTAAAGAGTTCACTGAAGTGAGTTTGCAGATATACATCCATCTCACTACCCCACACATCAAAAGGCAATACCATCCCCAGCCTGCTTTACCTGTGTTGTTTGGGAGTGGAGTGTCAGAAGCACCTTGCTGTTTACAAAACAACAGAATACAAAGCAGATTGCAAAAATGTTTCATCTCCCCTTGCCATTTGATGGACTCGTTGAGTTTACCTTGTCTCTTACAACCATCACACTTTGCCATCTAGGAAAACAGAGTGAGGGAGAAATTGAACACACTTGGAAACACCAACAAGGGGTATATGTACAAAAACCTAGAGAATGTGAGAATATTGCTTACCTGGTAATAAGAATATTGCTTACCTGGTAAAACAAAACTGTGAATTTAGACATGCACTCCTCTGAGCAAAATTCCTCCCTTTTATCCCCAAAATGATTCTGGACCAGTTTGGGGGAAGTTTGTAAACAGTAACTGCACATTTTACAGTGGGTTCCCCAGCGCTTAGACAAGTCGTGTTTATAGAGCAGTTTACAAACTAAAAGAAAACAGCAAAAACATTCTTTAATACCAATATGACAATCCCTCAGCACTCCTAATTCCTGTATTTAGTGATACCTGTAATAATTAATTGAAACATATCATTAAAATGTAAAGTGTGAACAGGGTTGTGTGTTCCTAAACCTAAAAACCAGATTCCTAACTCAAAAATATTAGATTTCTTTAAATATTACTGATACTTTTAAGACAAAACACTTGTGACTTGATTTCTCCGAGACAGGGTTTTGCCCTTTCTTACCTTCACTACAGAATGTTCTATCTATGCCTGAGAATCTCACTGTCTCCTTGATAATTTTCTCAAACCTGCAGTATTCACACAAAGCTGTCATATTGCCCTTCTTCTTATACTCATCACAACAGGTCTTCCCACAGAACTGGAACATTTTACCCTGCAACACAGCCAGAATGTTTTGGTTTCAGTGTTTGAATGAGTCACATTCCAGATAATACATTTAAATTGTTAATAGAAATGCAGAAAAGTATTTATACCCTTAGAAATCAGCAACAGAGCACCAGCAAATAAGTGTCCCCATTTAGTTTTATAATAAAGCAAAATTTTCTGCAGAAAGCCCTCACCAATGTGCTTTGTCCTTCGATTAAAAGGAGCATCCCTGGGTCCAAGACATATAGATGTGTTTATTTAGACAGGCAACCATTGGGTTTGGGTTTTTTTGGGAGGCTTTTTTTTCTGGTTTTAAGACCACAGAGCTAGTATCAGTATTAATTTGAGATCAGTTAAGCCAAATCAGTTTCAAAACCCTCCACAGCAGGTCTTTGCAAGCAACAAAGCCATACTGACAAACCAGTGCACATAAACTACAATTCTGTGGGTTTCTGAAAAAAGAGCTTTGAAAGCCCTGATCTTTATTACCTTGTAGTCAAGCAGTTCTGGTTTGGTGGCAAACGATCTGTTACAGTGCTGACACTTGATTTTCACAACCGAGCGGGTAAAGGTGACCTGCTGGCACTGGGCAGCCAACTTTTGGAGCCCTGCTGCAGCTGAGGTGCTTGTGGAGCTGGGGGACACAGTTGAGGTGGTGCCAGTGGCTGAGACCACTGTCCCCGAGGAGATGCTCACAGTGACCTGGCCCTGAGACAGGGGCACCACTGAGGAGTTCAGTCCTGCAGGTTTGTTGAACAGATTCTGTGGGAAAGCAAATAGACAGGCTTCACTTTATAGGGTTACATTTTGCACCTGGGTATTTCCACCATCAATTTAGCATTCTGTTAATTCAGCTATGAAGAAATCCTAGATGTCACACCTGAAAAGCTACTACACAATTGTAGCTGCAAAAATTGCGTATGCTCCCATCTGACATAGCCAAGTGATACTGAGGGTTTGCTGAGGTTTTACAGCTGTTGCACTGAACTTGAACACCTGAGGGTGAAACAGAGAAGAAAAAGTGATTTATGCAACATGAAGTTGTATTGCGGCTAATTTTGTACCGTGCATACAAAAACAGAGTCTGAATGACGAGCCAAGGCACAGACAGAAGCCCGAGACGACTTTTTCACAGATTCAGAAGCAGACACTGCAGCTGCTGTGCCTGTTGCTTGCCAGAAATTTAATTAATCTCCCAGTATCCCTGGGATGTCAGTAAGCATTTTTCTATTTCCACATGAAAAATAGCTGAAAATGTTTGCCTAGCTCCATGTGACATTGGGCAGAGATAATAAAGCTGCTCAGCCCAGGGAACAAGGGGGAGAAGAGTCCCAGCAGTGGTATGGCACGTCCACACAAGAGGTTTGTCTAGCTGGGAAATCCACCAGCTGCACTTAGAAGAGCAAAAATATAGATTGAGGATTGGCTATCATGTTCAAGCTCCCTAAAACCAAAACTGAAATAGCTGTACTGTCACTGCTACAGTTATCTACAATAAAATGCCCTTTCATTCCCATCTCAGCACTTCCCTTTAAAAAAAAAAAAGCCATCTTCCACCCTCCCAAAAAAGAACTTAAAAAAGAATAGCCTTAACTTTCAAGACAAATAAAGTCAGGATATGAGACACATTAAATTAAGTTTCTATGGAAGTAAAAGGATAAGCTTACCTGAAGAAGTGACCATTTTTACTCTGTATGCTGACAAACAGTTAACAGAACAAAACAGTTCTGTCTTCCCCAAGTTATTTGTGCTCTCCACCATCTCAGCTGAAGATCTCAGAGATTTACACAGTGTGCAGGGTGTAATTTTAGCTGACTTCTGTGGAAACATGGAAACTGATTGTTCATTTGAAACTTGGCATTTTTTATTAACCTGGAAAAGGTCACTAATATATAAAATATTTATAAAATGTGCCAGTGTGCTTGAAACAGCACTTGTTTTACAGCTGTGTTATTTATGGTGCAGATTCACTGATTTGAGATCTGGTTTGAACACCCTCCCAGGCCACTTTAACCAGTACCACTTTAACCAGGGTACTGCAAACACTCCTACAGGTTGTATTAGCACAGATCAGCACCTTGTATCAGACAACTTCCAACATCTTGCTGAGGACTGACATTTTGTTTATGTTTTCAATGCATCTGCTGTGTAGGTAAACAATATTCCCACTGAAGAGATGAGGAAACAAGGAACAGGGAGAAGAAGGTTCCTTGATGATGTTTGATAGCAAAATGGGAAAGAGATCCATCTGCCAGTAGAATCACAGTTTCCAGTGTGTGGTCTACAAACTTCTTTTGAGAGAGACACAGGAAAAAACCTCTCAGACACATTTTCTGTGGTTAAGGGTTTTTTAAAGTCTTTAAGTCTGGAAAAAAACTTTGAGAATTAGTGCACCAGATTATTTTAGTATGACAGCCTTAAAAATGCACTTTGTTCTATCACCAGCTATTCCAGCTCTTCACAGGACAGAACAGAGTATAAGCTTTTAGGGATTTAAAAACACACACAAATCTCCAAAAAGTATCAGAATGTACCTGACAATTGAGCTAAATGCTGTTTAAAAATCAATTTAAAATATATTTGACCTAACCTTATAAGCTTTGAACATACTGTATTTTCAAGGAAACTATCACATATAGGGTTTTGATGTGTGATATAAAAGCAGCATGAAAATGTTTCCAGCGTATTTAATTTTATTTCCAGATTTGTTTCAGAGGACAACTAATTCTGAAGGTAATTTTCTGGATGAAATACATTTACCATACTTTTTTTTTTACTTCATTAGGCCTTTCTTGACCTAAGTGGTCTGGATAATGGACAGTAGAGTCAAGTCACAAAATGAAATTCCATTCTTTTATCAGGGGGAAATTTTTCCTGAAGTAATTGCATTAGAATAAATAATTTAAAAATAATTGAGCTATTATAATAAATTAAGGTTCTTTTAAATGCTCAGGTCTTGAATAATCAAAAATAAATATGAAAAATTTAAAAGTTAAAATCAGTTATCAACTAACTATTACTTTTCCCCTCCACATAGTTCAAGGGCTACAATTTAATAAAAAATAGTCTTTAAGGAGCATCTCAAGGCTGAAAACAGTCACAGGGGGCTGCTGCTGGGGAGTCCCACTGTGTTTTCTCCCACATTGGAATTCTCTGGTAGCTGCTCCAGTGGTGAGAAAAAAAAGAGCAACACGTTTGGGCAAAGATTAAGCAGCAAATTGTCATCCCTGTAAGTGTTTAAAACCCACTTTGACCTGTGACACTTTGTGATATGGTTTAGTGGGCACTGAGGTATTTAGTTGAAGGTTGGACTTGATGATATTGGAGGGCTTTTCCAACCTTATTGATTTTGTTATTCTAGAAATGACAAAAGCAGTTAACTTAGACCAATACAGTAACTGAAATAACCAACCAGTAGAATTGGGTGTTTCTTAAAACACCTAAAATCTAATAAAAAAATAAGATTGATTCTATTTTTGGTATTTTGTCCAAATACAGAATCATGGAATTCCAGAATGTTTTGGGTTGGAAAGGACCTTAAAGCCCATCCTGTTCCACCCCCTGCCATGGGCAGGGACACACTCCACTATCCCAGGTTGCTCCAAACCCCAGTGTCCAACCCGGCCATGGACACTTGCAGGGAAGGGGCAGCCACAGCTTCTCTGGGTAACCTGTGCCAGGGCCTCCCCACCCTCATGGAGTAGAATTTCTTCCCAATATCCCATTTAACTCTGCCCTCTGACGGTGAGAATCCATTTCCCCTTGTCCCATCACATGTACCTGCTTGTAAGCTGTCACACATACAGAACTGCAGAACTTTTTGGACTGTCCCTCTATCTGCATGACGTGACACTGGCCAGAGCCACTGTAGCAGTATCCTCCACAATATTCACAGCAGTTCATGGTCAGGTTGTTGGCTGATCGGAACTGGGAGAAACAGGCATCGCTGCAGAGCTTGTGCACCACGTTCTGGTAATTCACCTCATGCCTGATCTGAAAGAAAAGGAATGTTCAGCAAGGACAGAAAGAATACGTGCTAAGCTAAAGAAATTCAAATGAGGAAATGGCCGTTACCACTGCATTCTTCTGGCACATGCTGCACTTGCTGGAAATGCTGTTGGTGTGGATAGTGACAATGGGTTTCCTCTTCAGTTCATATGTGGACAAACAAGACTGGCTGCAGAAATCCTTACTGGAGCCTGTGTTGTCAAACTGGGCAGTGATTACATCCTTTGGATTTAGAATTTCTCTATGGAAAAAGAAAAACAAACACAGAGATAAAGGATTAATGTTGGTTTCATGTCAACTTGCTGTTCTTGCTTATTCTGGAGACCAAACATTCTCCAGGAAAGGGTGGAGCCATTTAATTTAAACCTTTACTTTTTGCTGTCTACGTATCTGACTTCAATTTTGCTTTCCTATTAGGAAAACAAGTGAGAAGTACAATTCTTAAGCAGGTATTTTGTGAAATGTTTTGCACCTGGACTTAGGAGTGGCCTAAAAAAAGCACAAGCTCTAACATTAAATCTTTTCTAAAGGAACTTGGAGAAAGTAACTGTGTTGCATGGTCTTAATTAACAAAAAATTTAGAAAGCAGGATATGTTGAATAATTCCTTTTAGCAAATAAGGGAGCAGGGAAAAAAAGTGAAAAATGAAAGGCCACAATTTCTAATCACCATTAGTTTGGTCCACCATGGTCTAATAAGTATTTAAACTTTCTTATTTCTCATCCAGAATTTTGTTTATTTGTTGTTGGATTTAACACACTGAACTTTCTCCTTATTTCTTCTTCCTTTTGAAACAGTCCTTCACAGAATAGTTTTGAATCCCTAAAGTCAGAAGACTAGGAGAAAATATTTATATAACCTCCTTGCTTGGAAGGATGTCTCCTTCTCACTCATCCTGTCTGACATAACTCATTTTTCAACAGAATAAATACAAATTACCAAGACTTCTAAACTTTGTTCCAAGGCCTTTTCACACTAAGGCAGCAAGTGAAAAGAATAACTAATTGAAGTCTGAAGTTTAAGTTCAGTTGCCCTTGTAAAAATTGAAGTAATAAATTTGTTATTGAAGAAATGATGAACAAAGCAGCATTCCTTTGGCAAAGTAATTTTCATAACTAAAAATAATACACATGAATAATTCTGTATAAATGGATTGTAGCATGATCAGCCTGGAAATTGTTTGTCTGGAGTGAATGTACAGCTATGACATCCTACAGAGCCAGCAACAAAGGTCTCCTTTTGCTAATTTGGACATAATATAAATGAAAAAAAACTATAACAATTAAGAGGTTTTTAGAGCTGAGGATTTGTGACTGTGTATCCAGCAGGACTGTGGAAAATTTAGGTATTTTCTAAATTATTTTGTCCAAATAGGCTCAAAAAAGGCAAGCCTCACCTTTCCACTCTAGGCCTAGGTATAAAATAATTTGTTTGGGTGCCGAAATTCCCATTACCTAAAAAATTCAATTCTTAATAAGTTTAATGTCTCTACATGTTATGAAAGCAGCAGTGATGAGGTTTGAAAATCTAAAACCTATAGAAACCAAAGATCACACAATAGAGGCTAAAAGAAAAGTTATTTTTTATTAGAATCTGAGGAAATATTCTGCCTCAAATACATTAACTCACACAAGTTCTACTTCATTTTAGGGATTCATAAATCTATTTTTGTCTAGAAGAAATAATGCATAAAATACTTTTTGAAAATGTACTCTTGTTAGTAGTTTTGAGAGTGCAATGACATTTTGAAATGGCAGGAAGATTTTGTAATACAGTAATACAGTTATTCATATTTGGCTCATTTAAGTCAAAAAAAGAGAAGATGCATTCTGCACCACAGAAGCTTTTAAATCTATGTGTAGGTAAAACCAAATTCAGGAAATAGAACTGCAAACAGACAGACCAATTAACAAGGAACAGCATCAGCCACCAATTTTTGAAGGGAAGAGTAAGAGGAGCAGCGCTACTGACACAGCAAAGGGCACAAGAACAGAACTGAAGCCTTTCATTATCTGCTTGAATATAAATTATTAGTAGAACAAATGAAAGCATTGTCCTACTTTGAGCAGCTTGAGCAGGTTTTCTTGGTGGAAGCTGGTGGGCGAGAAGCTGGAATGGTATATCCAGTGAGGCACAGTGTGGAGCAGAAGAGCTGGGTTGAGCCTTTCCTCTGGTAGGCAGTTTGCCCCCTCTGCAGGATTTTTTTACAGCCAGAACAGGAAACCCGAACAGCTGTGTTTGGAACTGAGGGTAGCATTTTACTCATGCCAGAGGATGCCACAGCAGGCTGGAAACCTGATGACAGCTGTGGAACTGAAAAAAAAAAAAAAAACACAGAGTAAGTGCTACAGATCTATTACACAGAACTCACTGATGTGCAGGGGCAAGCACAAGGCTCGTGGCTTTATTTGGGTTACCAGGGTTTAGAGGAGAATCAAATAGCAGATGAACTCTCCACAAATATATGCCCTGTGCTGGTTTTCTGCATAGCAGATTCTTATAACTATTCTGAAGATGGAGAATGCACTTTTAGCATCCCTTTCACAGAATCATAGAATGGTTTAGGTGGGAAGGGACTTTAAAGACCATCCAATTCCATCCCCTGCCATGGGCAGGGACACACACCAATATCCCAGGTTGCTCCTAGCCCCAGTGTCCAACCTGGCCTTGGACACTTCCAGGGATGGGACAGCCCCAGCTTCCCTGGGCAACCAGTGCCAGGGCCTCCCCACCCTCACAGGGAACAATTGTTTTCTAAAACCTAAATCTGATTTTTCTAAAATCTAAATCTGTTCTTCTTCAGCTTAAGACTATTTAACACATTCAGTTCTCTTATGCATTTCACATTCAATTTTCTTATGCCTCAAAACCACAATTATTTTATAATCTCAATTTCATTCTCTCTAAACCAAACTAGTTCTTCGTTCCTACTGTGATCAGACACAGAGAACAAAACGTGGAATGACCTGCAAGACTGTTAGCAGAGGTGACACATTTTACAGATTTAAATGGAATTAGTCTTGCCTATTCCTTACCAAAAGGATTGCCACTGACTGAAAAAACAGCACTGATTTTCAGCTCCCCTTCCTGAGATTTTGGTTGTTGGCCGTACTCCTAAAAGAAAGGGAAGGGAAAAAGAGAATATACATATGTAATAACAGGTTATATGATTCCATTCTTTCACTATGCTGCATTGAAGCTCATGGAAGAGTGGGTGTCCTAAGCCTGCTCCGAAGGCTGGGTGACAAGTGAGCACCACACACAGCTCCTTCTCACAGCTCCACAGCAAACCACACCTGAGGGGGAACAAATGGACAGGTGGGGCTGCCTGGTGCATCCGCCTCTCCAGCTGCATTCCAAGACACCTCAGAATTCAGCCAAAGTTTAAGGAAATCTCTGCTTTCTATTCAAACTTTCCAGCTGGATGTGCTTTTGCAGCTCTTGTCCCTGTTCAGGGAAAGAAGTTTTATCTTCACATAAAGAAGAATAGCAATGAAATAGAGCTGAGACCTCATCGGGGAGAGTTCTATATTAACCAGGAGTTAGGACCTTCGAGCAGCCTAAGTTGAAGCTTTGCAGCAGACCAAGGCTGGCACCACCAGGGCCAGACCATCACAGTCCCACCTCCAGCACAAGGGGAATCACCTCACATTTGGTACAGGATGAGAAAATCCCTGGACAGCTGCTGGTGGAATAGCTGACATGCTATAAATGACTGCCTTATTCCCCAGCAGCTATTCACACCGACACCAGGCTTCCTGCCCCTGCTCTCCCTAGAAATCTGAGCCAGAAAGCGGCTTGGAACATCCCACATATAAATCTTAATAGGCTGAATAGCATAATCTCTTGGAACTACAGAGATGATAAGATTTAGCCTACTTACAGTCATTTGAGAGTAGTGAGGCATGATGTCATGTTATGACTGAGCTAAATTCACAGTTGCTGCCTGGCTGCCAGGAAAACCAATTCAGAATCACTAAGCAAAAGGAAGCTCTCCCTTGCCAGTGGCAGTTAGATGCTCCCCCAGCTTCCACCAGCTCCCAAAATCCCACAACAACCTCCACTGAGCACATGCTCAAACTGAATTCTCCTCTCACTCCTGTGGAAAAATTAGAAGTTCCTATACTAGACAACCAAACTATTTCTCAACATGTTTCCCAGGAGACAGGCAGTGGTATTCCTTGATCATGTGAACCATCAGACTGAAACAACCAAATCTCAGGTACAGAAGCTCTAAGCTGGGTATGGGCATGCTGTGATGAGATTCTTAAGCACCATTTTTATTATTATTATTATTATTATTGTTATTATTATTGTTGTTATTATTATTATTTAAAAATTAATCATTTTCAGACATACAGATTTTAAGGCACTTTAACTGCAATTGTATCCTTAGTCAAGAGTAGGAAAAGAAATGGAGGCAAATCCTGACATCAACTGTGCATGATCAAGCAGTTTCACAGCAGCGAAACAATGCTGAAAGCCAAAAAACCTTCAGCTCCAACTATTGGTTACAGCAAGAAATGCTCTTATCTTTCAGAAAATATAAAAATAATCCATAAAATCCCCCCATAGTAATTCCAATCTAAAGCAAAACAAAATGAACTCAGTTCTCCTACTTTTCCAGTATCAGGCAGAGTTGATAATCACAGGATTTTACTCCAGGAAGGAATATTTTGAACCATACGATATTTGACATTTAAATTCTTCAAGTCTTCATTTTTACTTATTAATATGATCTTTGATAACCACAGACATCTCGCCTTGCATTCCACACAAATCCACACAGCAGATGCCATCTTGGGAGGATAAAAGAAGAGACAGATTTAACTAATCTACACATGGTTTGATATTCTATAGGTTCAAGGAAAAACAAACCCTAACAATCTCGCAGAGACTGAACAAATCAGAAGGACAGTAAAATCTGAAGTTGCAAATATTTTACTTATTAAATTGAGAGTATTATGGGAAAAGAAGAAAAAGTGCTGGAAAGACAGGCCCGGAGAGTAGAGGAGGTTCAGCAGAAGAACAGAAACTGATTCTAAAAACTAACACCTGCACAGGAACACCAGCACTTGTGTGTCAGTGCAAAGGGATGCATCACTTAGGGAAGTTTTGCACACCTTTAACATATCCAGTCTGACATGTAACCCAGATATGAGCAGTGAGGAGACAGGAATTGCAGCACAGCTAGTTTCCCTGGTGTCACACAGCAAACCGGTGGGACAGAGATTGGCTGGAGCTCAGCAATCCTGGTCCCAGCACTACTCAGTCCAGGGGTCAGACCTTTTCCAGGTTTCAATTACTGAGTTTTACCTGTATCATCATAAAAAGTGTCAGTCTTGAATGAGAAAGTTACTTAAACACATACTTAAATTGACTTCATTGATGTGTAAGTACTCAAATATTTTGGTAAGACCTTTAAGTGTTAATTTAAAACAAGAACAAACTAGTGTGCTTGCAAACGCAACTTTTAAGAAGGGAGTAGCAGCAATAACACTGCTTTTATTCATATCTCTAATTGTGACTGCTCATAAAGTATTTTTAAAAAATATAATTTACAGTTTATTTCCTAGTTAGATAAACTGTCTATATTGTGACAGATGTAGTAACAGAAGTTTTAGAGCATTTGGCTTTGCTTCTAACTGAAAAGAAAAACATTTTCAGAGACAAGGTAACAAGACATCAAAAAGTTGAGGGGGAGTGGGTTTCATAGTACTGTAAGAGGGAAAAATCCTTCTACTAAACTATGTTCTTCAAGTTAAATTTCGGTCAACAAACTAAATAAATTGCTGAATTTATGTTCAGCTTAAGCGGTCAGCTGTCAGACCAAAATGAGAAATGCAATGGGAAACTTACCTCAGAATTACCAGGTTCATCTTTAATTTTGTCTAATAGTCCCTGCTGTGGGGCCATAGCTTTAGCATATTCGTCATCCAAAGGCTCCTTCTTAATTCTAATATTTGGTGCAAAGGAATTCCCCAGCTCTTGTCCAATAGATTCCTTACTAGAAAATAGGTAGCTAGACTCCTGAAACAATAATATGAAAAAGAATTCACCCTCCTGCATCTGCCATGAGGAGTTGGGCTGCTGCCAAGGGGAGTTTGTCTTGCAGACCAAGAGATTTGGGTCCTGCCAAGGTGGGAGAAATGCTGAGCAGCAGCTGCTGCCTCAACCTCCCTGCAGCCCCCTCTCTCATCCCACCCCCAATGCTTTCCACTCCTCTGGCCAAAGCAGAAGACACCCAGCTCTGTAAGTTGGTTGTTTGGGAGTGTCTCCTGTGGATACAGCTGTTCCCTGGCTCATGTGGAAAAAAGGCAGCAGGTCAGGTGGATGCATCCAGCTGTAGGTTCGGCTCACCGGTCACTCCAACCATGCTGAACAGGAAAGTGGCTACCAAAAGAATCCTCAATCCAAAGAGAGGGTCAGGAAAATTTTACAAAATTATATGTACTGTTTAAGTAGCAAAGATGTCTAAGAGTCAGAAGATCAGTTTCCTTAACACTCAAATTTACACTCAAATACAAAATACGTATTTTGAATTATTCCATCATATTGCTGCACTTGCAAAAGTGGTTGAAAGATCTATAGCTTACCCTGAAGTTAGTTTCTGGAGTTTGTGGCGCTAACTGCGTCCGTAATGTTTCTTCTACTTGATTATGAACTGAGGAAAACATATACATTAAATAGAAATGAATACAGGTTCCAATGCATTTCCTTTAAAACTATCAGAGTCTCATTCTGCTCCCCAACCCCAGTGTCAGACAGCACCTCACCACTATTAAACAACTCCCTTTCTCCTCCTTGCAAGTAAGCTGGTAATCCCTAAAGAGAATTGACTCTTTTAAAATTATTCTATTGGATCATTATTTTCCCATTCCAGTAAAATAGTTGTAAACTTCCGACACAAATTGTTCATTCAGAATTTTCCACACCATGCAGGTTCTGGACATTCCTGTTTTGATATTTAAATCAGAAAATACTTTTCAGAGCAACATCTTCCAGCCTTTTCTTTGCTGTTCTTTTGACTTTTCCCCTCTTCTCAGGAAATAGCATCTTCTGCTTTTTCAGAATATATCATTTAAAAACTGTGGATTTGCCTACATACCGGATGCTACTATGAACATTTATCTTTCAGGTTTCAACTACTGACTACTTCACCTGATCTTTTAACTGTAGGTATTTACAATTTTATGAAATATATCTTATGCACAGAAACATTCCTCCCTTTATTTCTAACTGAAGGTAAAAGTAGAGATAGATCTGTAACTTTTCTTTATTTAAAGAAATATCTTTATTGCTTCTCTATCATTGGTGCCACCTGGTAGCACTGATTTTAAGATGCTGTTGCTGAACATATGAAGTTTAAACCTCAGAACTGTAAGCTGTGAGTGTGAACAAGCAGCCAGTAGTCCCTCACGTGCTGGCTCACCCTCCCTCTGCTGAATAAGCCTAAATCATGTGCTTGGTTATTCTTAACTCCTTCATTCAGTGTTCTGCTGTAACTTTCAGAGCTTGGGAAGTCAAAAATAAGTGTGTGGGCAGCAAGATTACGGAGACTGTCAAATGAGAAAGGGATTTTAGGCATCTTTGATTCTCTCCACGTTGGCTGGATGAAGTCCAAGACACAAGTATTTGAGGAAGAAGGGGAGCAGTCTCCCAGGAAAAGCAGATTTCAAACTATGTTCTGGCTTAGTTCCTGACAACATTAACTCCTTTCTAGCAAGACTTTCCCTGATACTATCAAATCCATACTGTTTCAAATACCTAGGCATTAGTGAAGAATTGGTGCTTCACTCAAAAAATCTTTACTGGCCATCAACTTAACCTAAACTTCATCACCTTTTCTTTTAAGATGTTCCATGGTCTATAAAAAACAGTCAGAAAAACCAAAAGGAAGCTTGAATTGTCACCCAGCTTGGTTTAGGAAACCACAACAAAGGATATGTTGAGGCTCTGTAACAAGTTGTGGAGGATGAGACCTCCCTGACCCTGTCAAGCCCTTTGCAAATCCTCCTCCTAACACAAAGTTCATTGGATTTCAGTGTTCTTCACAAAATGCTCCCCTAACACAGCTCTGCCTGTTCTCTTCAACAAGGTGATGTTTTTAATAATTAGCCCTACTGCTGATTTCTCTCTAGTTCTCTCTTCCTCTTTGCTGGGCAGCCAGGTCTGTGATGTCAACAGTTACCTGTATTGTCAAGAAAACCACTTTTCAACCTAGAATCCACATCTTTAGGGATTTTTTCCAACTGTTTTTCACATTCTTGAAAATGTCCTTCTCTATTCTTGTCCTTTGCTGAAAAAGTCTCTTTGCCATTATCTCGTGTTATGCTAAAATCTTTTTGAAGTGATTTAAACACAGGGCCCTGTTCAAAGGGAGAAGTGAGATCCTTCTGGATTGCATTCTGAACCTGAATTTCTTTCTCACTGTCCAGTTTGTGATCTGGAACTCTCTTGCCCTCTTCCAGATGATCTTCATCACGAATTGCTGAAGAAAGAGTGTCTTTTGGAGTGAAATTCTGATCATCTTCGTTGTCACTCCCAACAACAGGTATGCCTGCAAGATCCCCAGAGTTCAGAAAATAATCATGATCATCACCCTGCAGTGAATTTTCAGGTCCTGCTCGATTCGGTACTCCGTAAGACAAACTCTCAAGGGCGGGTGTTAAGTTGTGGTCAGCATCCTCAGACATCTCTGCATCCAGAATTTCACCACCTAGGGAGAAAAAAATCCCAGTGAACAGTCAGAAAATTGACCAACTTCATGTGTAGCAAAGGAGAAGGGTGAGTGTCCTAATCTGGCTGATACTGCAATCCCTTGAATACTCTCCTTTCAGGCCAACATTACTGTGAAAACATTGCCGACATAGAAATGGTTCAGTCACCTTCAACACTCTGAAGCAGAAGCTCAATTGAGTAATACAAACCAAAGAAAGAAAAAACACTAATTTCCATTCATTTCACTTGTAGCACTTGTGGAGAAGGCAATGCAGGAGGGAGTGAGCAGGAAGGGCTGGGATGAAGGCAAGACAGTCTTGTTCAGCAGCAATGACACTTCCAAGAAAGGCTTTGTGAAAATATGACATTCAAGAATAAATAGAAATACTTACATTTTTCTGTAATATCAAATACCGCATCAGATTTATCTTCAAACTGTAAAAAAGGAAAGCACTGTGTCATTGTCTTGGTCAGTTGACATGTACTTTGCTAATAAGTATCTGATCAAAACCAAGCAGAAGGATCACAATTCCTCTTCTTCCTTCCTTGCCCCAAGCAAATTTTTATGAATTAAGACTGTTACGTCACTGAGAAGCCAAACCTGCCCTAATGAGTTCAGAATACATAGAAAAGGCACACAAGGAAAATTTAGAAATAGTGTTGCTTCCCAGAGGAGAGAGGGAAGGGAATGTCAATTCTCTTCTACCTGGGATACTGGTACCAGGTCAAAGCCACAGACTCTGCCCTGACACTCTACGGGCCTTCAATCCCTCTGAACATCTCAAATGAAAACCAGGAGCACAAGCAGCTCCCACTACCATGGGCTGCACACATCCAAGGGTTTCACCTCTCTTACAGGGAATGTCCCTTTTCCAGGAACAGGGAAATGCAATGCTTAACTTCCCAACACAGCAAGTGTCAGTGTGAGCACAGAAGAACCAGATGCTGAGTGCTGCACAAAAATCTGTCTGCATTAAACATCCTCTGACAGATGTTGAATTTGTTGGCATGCTTGGATGCTGCCTGAAGAAGGATAATTAGAGTTTCCTTCAGAATGTCCAACTCATGAGCAGCCTTCTTTTCTGCCCAAGAGATAACAGTAATTCATTTAAGCCCTCTTTCCTTTCTCTGCGTTGCCAGCTCTACACTTCTTTCCTGGTAGATCCTGCTCACACTGCAATTCTTAAGCCATCTTAGGGAAAGTAATGGGATTTGATAGCAAAGGGATGAGCCCTAATTTCATTTAACCCAAGTCATTTAGTTGATAAATCCAGTATTTCTCAGGACTTTCATGGGAACTATCACTTTGGTAGCAGCCAGCTCTAAAAAGAGATGACAACAGACTGTCCCAGAGGTCATTTGATGGCAAAAAGTCCCTTTCCAGTACCACTTGCAGGTCTGCAAAGACAAGGTAGTTCCTTTAGCTTAACTGGACACACATGGAATAGTGAGGACCTGTCCAGCATGGTATTAAATCAGTTGGATACTGCACCAGAACTTTTGGTATCTCTGAGCAGACAGTTGAGGCTGGAAAAGTGAAGCACAGAACCAAAACAAAACAAAACAAAGTTATAGTTCCACAAGGCCGATGCAAGTCTTCTCCATGTAATCTACAGAGAAAGAGTAAGGAACCACCTGCCAGGAAGGTTTGCAAGGCCTGAGCTCTGTTCTTGCTGTAATGATCTCATGGGATCTGGGAGATGGAAGTTTAATGTTGATCTAGAAGCCCATTCACAGTCAACTAAGTTTACACAGGTGTAAAACTAATCCCCATAAATACTGGATATACTAAGTGTTTGTATGTGCTGCTGAGGACAGGGACAGCAGGGGTGGGCTGCTTTTAGAGAACATGGAAAGGAACTTGTTGCCATTTGATAATAATATTAGAGCATGAAGTTTTGGGAGGCAAAAACAGTAGCCCAGGTCCTTGACTCTACACTGACCTTCTTTGATCTTTTTTTACTTCCTGTCAGGAATTCTCTATCCTCTCAAAAAATTTCACAACAGAATTTGATGGTAGGATGAAGGGTGTTTTCAGTTGAAATAAAGCATGAGCTCACCCTTTTCTCAGAGTAGGCTTGTATCAAAGTTATTCTTTAACTCTTTTGAAACCCAGACTACCTGGGGGAAAGTATTCCAGGTCCCACACAACCCTGGTTGCCTTACATATCCAAACCCCAGGGACTCCTTCTCCTCTCCTGCGGTAACAAATCTTTTGCCAGCAGCTGACAACCCCAGGAATGTTCGAATTAGCAAGGGATACATTTTGCAGAGTGGATCTCTCTGTTTCATTCAAAGAAACACTAAGCACAAGGGGCCACCTGCAAGAGCATGAGTGACTCCCATAAATACTATGGAGAATCTGGAAAACACAATCTACCTGGAAAGAATCCAATACACTTCACAAACACAAGGTCATCCTAGGGAAAAAAACAACCCTGTTTTGTTTCTTTACTCGTTATTTTGTGAAGCTATTAAAAGAAGAGATCATCTTGGATATCTTCTTCCTTCAAAAGGTTTTCAAACACAGAGGGAGATCTGTATCTTTGGTCAAAAGCTTTTCCTGGAAATATTTATAAACCAGGAACTCCAGCATCTGACAGTACCAGCAGCCTTATCTAAGCCACCATCTAGTTTCTAACTGTGAACAGCATCAGAACTCCCACATAGTGTAAATTCATAGGGAGAAAGCCAGGGGAAGTGTTTGGATGATTGTGTGTGTGTACACATATGTACCTATACACACACAGAAAAATAAAATATGTATATATATTTATATTTATATATATATATACATATATATTATATTTCTGCATTAATGTGGGGTATTTTTCTGCATTAATGTGGGGTGTTCTCTCAGTTATACACTTCTAGTCCCTTCCCTATGTCATCCTCCTTTCATTAGCCATCATCACCCTTAATTCCTTTTATTTTTTCTGCTCAGATTTTTTAAGATTTAGTGAGGAGTGGAGCAAAAGTAGTTGGACAAACATGGCATTTCCTCTGGGTCACTTTTGCCAGATCTAAGGAGAGAGGTACCTCGACAACCCACATTAAGTCCTTGATAACTACAAAAGGAAAGTTTCAGGGACAGAAAGTCTTCTGTTCAGATACTGAGGCTTCAACTTTCAGCTCAGTCCTCAAAACACACTTGTAGTTGTAAAACAAAACTCAATAATACAATATTCTGTAACACCTTCATTAATCACCTTGGCCAATATTTGCCAGAGAATAATAATTCTTAGTGGTTTTAATCATTTAACTCTGTAAGAGTTTAATACAGAATAGTTTGAATTTGGTATTAGTGAAATTCAATGTTATAGGCTATATCTTTCTTAGTGACTGACTCATTAGCTAGCACTGCACACAAAGCAGTTCTCTGCCTACTCAGGCTGTAAAAAACAAATAAATGAGTGAATGAAATGAAACAAGAATACAGAAATGGTGAAAAAACAATGAAAGCAATGTGACTTGCTTAAAATTAACTACTCTATAAATAAAGACAGCATTGCTTTTATTAAAAAAAAAAATCCACTAGATATATCACTGTTTTTTTATAGATGCATATGAGACTCTAAGGGAGCAGTGTCACGGCCTCAGCACTAACCTGGCTTTGCTGGGAGCAGGGGACAAAAGGACACATATTTACAATTCAATACAATGTGCTAATTTGAAATAACAAAAAAGCTGATCCATAACTTAACAGTGCTCAACACTGCCATGGCATCCATAAATCAAACTATTCATAGATTATTTTTGTGCAATATAAAAAGAGAAGCTGCCTATGGCTACAGTATTGTTTTGTATGCAAGACAGAGAATTCCACTGAAAAATAAACAAAATGGTGTAAGTACTTTATACACACAGACACGTCTTTCTAGTAAGCTTCTGAAGTTTGATCCTAGATTTTAACATACCCATAAGTAAACTGTGGAAAGGAAGCAGATGTTAAGAGAACTGCAATTAAAAACAGTCAGAGATGATTCTCAGTTTGCCTATAATTTCCTTGTCCGTCTATGCACAGCATTACCCCCACTCCAGAATTCATTCAACTGACAAGACACCATTTGAAACAAAAAACAGAAAACAAAAAAACCAAACAACAAAACAAACACTCCCCCCCACCAAGCCACAAAAAAGCCCCCAACAAACAAATAATTAAAAAAAAAAAAAAAAAGAAATTTGAATCGCTATTCTTGAGGCAGGTGGGTGAGCTCAGGAAGCATCCCCTGACCTTTTCCACATGACACGGCCCTGGCAGGGATGCCAGGCAGGCAGTCAACCGCGTGGCACGTGCAGAATTACACAGCGGGTCCTGCCGGAGCTGCTTCCCGCTGAAACACGGCCAGCCCTATGGATTCATACCTTCAGAGCACCTAGGGAGGGAAGAGACAGGGTAACAAAGAGCCAGGCTGCTGCAGATACCTGCTACAGGAAAAGAAGAGCTGAGGCGGGAAGAGAACCTGGTGGGGTCACAGCCATATAGAGCTGAGCAGAGCCCCCCACTAGCCGGCTCTGGGACCCCCAGCCCCAGCAGGGACATGGCACCTTCCCACCCAGAACGGGCTCGGAGCCCTCTGAGGGACAGCTCAGGTGTCTGAGAGTTCCCTGAGCCATGCTGAACACTTGAAAAGATTGTTTTTAATCCAGTCTGAGGGTAATACAGTGGAGATGGTGATGGGAGTTTTTAAAGGCAAATCTCAAACATGCTACAGTACATGTTTAAAAGCAGGCATTTCCCAGCTGCTTGTGCCTCCCTCTATTCTGTTTAAGAAATACAGTTTTACCTTGCATCTCACTTACACACCTGCAATTTTTAAGTGTCAGGACAGAAGATTTAGGCATGTGCTGCTCCCCTTTCATTTCTGTGTTTTAAAAATTCTGGACGATTCACCAGAAATCACAGGAAGCAGTTCAGCATGGAAGTTTATCATCCCTTTCTGTCACCAGGCTTTTCTGATATTCCTGAACTTTTGGAATATTCACAGGCCAATTCCAAACAAACTTTACAGTTGCATACCCACCCAGCACACACACAGAACCTGCATAGTGTTACCAACATATGTGAGGCTAAGATGAATTTGTCAAACACAGAAGTCACAGAGAGCCTTATTTTTTCTGGAATATTGGTGAGTTTAATCTATACCTACAAAAACACAGGAGGATCCAAGTCTGTCCCCCATTCACCCACAAAATCATGGATTTAAGAAGGAAGCAGCTCCACATGTAATGGTTTCACTTTGCAATCAAGAGAATCCCAGACTGATTTGGGCTGGAAAGGACCTTAAAGATCATCTTATTCCAAACCCTACCATGGCCAGGGACAACTTCCACTATCTCTGGTTGCTCCAAGTCCTGTCCTGTCCAGTCCTGGCTTTGGACACTTCCAGGGATGGGGGCAGCTTCTCTGGGCAACCTGTGCCAGGGATTCACTA